TTATTATTATTATCATTGTAATTAAGAATTTGTATTATACTCTTTGTTTATTTATGCATAACTAATCAGATTGACTCAGCTGATGTGCACTAATCTAAGTTACATTTAAACAAAGCTCATATTTTTCTTGATTAAAACAATGAATCGATTGATGTTAGACCATCATTGAAAATTTGGAAGTACTAGACGTCCATTTCATCCTATTATGGGATAACTCCGCATCAGTTGGCATCCACGATCCCACTTGTGGGATTCGAACGCAGGACCTTCTATCATGCCAAAATATGAAGCAATAATAACAATTCAATAAATCAGTAGTTCACTTTTTTCTTTAAAGAATTATCAACATGAATCGAACTTGACAACAACATAACAAGCCAAGAATAACTGAGATCATTTTTTTCTCCAATATTTTACATGTTACATTCCATTGATCAATTTGTCTTGGTAACTAGATCGTAAAACAGACATGTATAATGAGACATATCTGTCTAGCTGTGTGCGTGTGTGTGTGTGTATGTTTGTCATTACATTTACATGTATTCGTAATCAGTGTTGTAAAATTCTCATCAATGAATTGTTCTTGATCGATAAACATAAAATAGATCAATACACTTCAGTGGTGGTTCTTATGTCATCATCACCATAAGTAACTTAGTCCCATAAGGAATTTAATGATAAGAGATGTGAAATAAACAAGTTTAGATTTTATAGCATATTCAAGAGGGTATCTAAGGTCTATAAACTAATGTCAGCTGACATATCATACAGTAATGTATTTACTTAATGATCAAATACCATCAATCGAAAATGGAATATCATTAATAACAAGTAATAAGTTTCAACTTTTGTTGTGTCTTATGCTTTATTCATTATATCACATGATATGATTGCCAATTAGAACATCGACGTAAATATCCTTGGCACTGTGCCAAATCAATAACGTGTTAACGATTACGAACAGCTTAAAGTTAATCTCTGAGTTTTGATTGGTTTTTCGGTTTAGTTTTGCCTGTTGAGCTTAGAACACAGCTTCTACTGTATGTATTGCATATTTTAAACATACATGGTGTATATTACAAGTAAATCAGATTGTATCATATCATAAAATAGAAAATAACAACTATACATGATCAAGCCAAAAGTATCTGTGAATATGAATTACTCATAGTTTAATCTTCATTAGGATATAGTAACTTCAAGGTATCCTTCTAGCATGTAAAACAAGTGAAAACAAACAACTTTGGTCAGAGGAAAATCTTTGTTGTTAGTTATGAAGACTAGACCAATTTAAAGAAAAGTAAATCAGAAGGTAGGGGGGAAACTGTGTGTTAAAGACAAGACTCCTTGATATAATTCAACATTTCGGTGGTAAGTAACAGTTTGTTTGTGATAAACAAAATGGGTGAAGTGCTATGGTTTGCTGTGGCTTGGTATTATATCAGCCAAATTATGTTGCTTGTATTAGGACAGAAAATCTACATGAGGAAGCCTTTTCCCTTAAGAGTATCGTTTGACTTGATAAAGGACAAAGAAATAGTCAACTTAGAGTTTTAGCAACCAATGGTTACGGTGTCCTAGGAGTTTAGGTGTCAAAGTGAAAAGTCAATTTCTGTATGAGAGGTTGAGACAAAAACGACGTTAAATTCGTCGAAGGCCAAGATCATAGTAATTCACTGAGTCCTGAAATTGACTTGCAGTAATTCTGACGAAAAACACCTACATGACACATAACAGATACAGTGACAATCATAACAGTTGGAGTTGTATCCACTTTTGTAACTTCCGCTCATATCAGTAACACTAAATCTTACAACTCAGTTGAGATATATGTTAACGTTGACTGACTTATACAAAACTCCTTTGTTACCAACCTCGAATCAGAATACAAGAAAAGTCAACTAATATACCTTGTATCACTCCCTATTTAAAAACATATAGGGTTATATACATCAAATACAAAACTACGATGAATCAGAATTGTGACATTCATATATGGACACCACTAGGTCATCTGTTTTGAGAATTCCATATTGTAGTAAACATACAACATTATTATTATTACCAGGGTGCTTGGTACCTGTGTGGTTGCGCCACAGGATTGAGCTGCACTGTTCAGATTGTAGCGTTAAAGTCTATATGGTGTCTGGTTCTGCTGGAAACGGGATTGAGCTGTACTCTTTGGGTTGTCACGTGAAAGTCTGGATGGTGTCTGGTCCTCCTGAAAACCAATGTAAAATTACCCTGGCCCGCAAGGGTATATATATATATATTTGATAAAAGTAGAACTCCACTCTTAAAAGTGTTATGATAGATACAAATATCAGCTTCTCCAGGTGACACTGTGATTATCGCACCTGATAGATGATCACATACTTGAAGCTGGATAACTGAAAGGCAGGATAGACAGACGAAAAGAGTGACAAAGTTCCAGTACATTATCATGAGAATATTTCTTGTCCTTGAAACAGCCGTGAAGACTACTCAATCACTATGAATATGATCTTCAATACGATCGTTGGACTCTGTAGTAGAAAAAAATGTTGTTTGTTGAATATTGAACAAGTATAAAGGATATTATTCATAAAGATATCTGACCAAACATCTTTGTGATAACATATGTTCAAAGGAACACGACATCATAGATGAACCGCGCTTTTGTCAAACAATTCAGATCATAGAGTATATATGATCCCAGAAGATACAAGTTTCTTTAAAGTAGTCTTCACAAAAAAAGCTATTAGTGGACCCAAACACATCTGTATTAATTTGTGGCACAAAGTCAAAGCAAAATATAATGTTATTTTTTGATTGAGATCATGAATCGATTGATGTTAGACCATCACCTTTGGAAACATTAAAGCACTGGGTGGCTGTTTCGTTCTATCGTGGGACTCCTCAGCAGTGCGCATCCACGATCCCACTCGCGGGACTCGAACCCAGGGCCTTCTGTCCCGCGCGCGAACTCTTAACTTACTGAACCACTGAGCCGGCATCCAATGGTGATAGCGTTTAACATCAACCAACCCACGAAATTGCGCGACAACCTTCTATTGTACTGAGGTAGATACCTGTCTCTACCCGACATGGATTATCTGTTATTTGCTTATTTCCCATGCAAATACCTCCTTTTTTTGAAAAAGAATATCATAGCTATCTATAAAGGTTCATGCATAATAGATATATAATTCATTGTAGTCTTTGTAAAACGTGCTACATCTTCTTTCGCTCTCGTACAATTAAAAGGTATTTGACGAAAAGAATATAATTATATACTACTTAAAACTAACCAGCTATAACATATACCCAAATGACTTTCTCTAAGAAATAATATAAGATCATTCCATGATCGTTTATATGAGTACATATTCTTGCAATTTAATGGTTTCGTGCAGTGATAAGTAGTGGACAAGGAAATAGTAAGTAAGTTAGGAAACGGTTCGTCCATGTAACAGAATGGCTTGCATTGAATGTTGTTCTTCCTTACTGTTCACTTAACAGTTTATGTTAGTTGAATAGGGGATCACTCATGTGGATATTGAAGTAATCATTACTGACATATTCTGTCTTGCAATGTTAAAGCACTATCACAACTGCTGTTTTGAATCGAACTCTTCATCTCCTGTATTCCTACTTGAGAGCCGTTCTATCCTTGTTTGACCGATATTTTTTCCACTATACATTAAGGTTAATGTATAAGACAACGAATAATGTTTTCTGATTCCTAGTTGTTGATCATTTAAGTCATATCTCCAGTTTACTGAATATAAATCCATAGTTTATACGGATGAAAGTATGTGCTATAATCTTTATAATCTTAGATACATAAACTCTCCTGTTACTTGACTTCCACAGTTTTATCTAAGATGAATTTGTGGGGATCATCAGAAGGAACGTTATTTACTCCCTCTCTCTCTCTCTCACTATTCAACTGCAACTGTATATCAAGCATTTGTTGTAAGATAGATGACAAATCCTTTGAAATATTCTCATAATCTTGTGTAGTGATACGACTTATCGTTCTTGATCAGCTTTCATATGTTAACTGCGTTTAAACGATTTTAAAAAAACACACTTCTTTTTGATGCTAATGAGCCATCATAGTACTTTAAACGTTCACGTTGAGAACTTTACTACTGGATTCAGAATTTTTTCAGATTGATTATTCTATTGTCATAATTAACTCAAGTCAACCTCTACTCTTAACAAGAAGATCACAATTTTCAAAGATACTAACTAAACTAAATAATGGTATTACTTACTTACCATGATTAACTTTTGATATAACGAACAGTAGTTTTCAACAAATTGACCAACTTGATGAAGAAAAACCCACCCTAAAAACAAGTATTTTACTTATCATTACTTATGTTGAACGGTTTTGAATTGAACAATGTTAGACCACAATTTGAAGCCCAGAAGTTTCGTCTTGGTATACGACTCCTCGGCATTGAGCAGAACATTCGCTCCTACTGACGAACTCTTAAACTGTAGACCACTGTGTCAGCATCCAACGGTGTTGATGTCTAGATTCAATCAACCCACAACATTATGTGATCATCATCATACGAAACCAAATTTCCAGGGTTCGAATCTCGGGTGCGGGAACATGGATGAACACTGTTAAGAAGTCTTATGCCAGTAGGAAACGCCTGTTCAGTTGCTTCTAAGTTTTCAATCATGGTCCATGATTTCAATCAAATTCGACAATCTCCACGACCTCATAACTGAAAATTATCTCTATGATTTCAGTTTTGAATTCATTCGCTTCTCTCCAATCATTACTCTTTTTCATATTTCAATTATAAAAAAACAACTGTTGGATGCCGGCTCAGTGGTCTAATAGTTAAGTGCTAGCGCGCGAAACCAGTAGGTCCTGAGTTCGGATCTCGCGGAGTGCGGGATCGTGGATGCGCACTATTGGAGAGTCCCATACTAGGACGAAACGACCGTCCAGTGCTTTCAGGTTTTCCATGGTGGTTTAGCTTCAATCGACTCATGATTTCAATATGTGAAATTTCTAAAATCTCCACAAAACCCCCATTCTGATAAAAACACACAATATATCCAGAAGATATTTATTTATTTATTTACTGAATCTGAACGAATGAAATGAATAATGAAAATGAAATGATGATGATGATGGTGACAAGAATAAGTAACAACAATAATAATAATGACAAATGTTCATATTCACAGCCTAAAACTGTTACATAACAATGATCTGATGTCAATGTTTAACTAATGAGAAAACAAAAACAGATCAAGATCTCACACACACACACACACACACACACACACACACACAGAGAGAGAGATACACAATATTGATCTAAGCATTAAACAAAAAAAAAACGACATAGCTACACGCTTTAACACCGTAAAACATTGAAAGTGACATTGATCATAAGTATAAAGAAGAAACAATGTAATTTCTAATCGTTATGCCTATAAACATTATTTAAACAATAAAATAAAATATATATTCGTGAAATATTATGAAAATGAATGAATAAATGAAGAAAAAAGAAAGAAGATTAAAGTAATATAGATATATAACTGAAGGCAAAAGCTGTGAAATATAGAACACTTCCCTAGCACACCCCCCCCTTCTTCATATAATCGATCAATCAATTATGAAATGATAGAAATGGCGCTATCAAGAGTTTTGGCAATTTAGTTATACACACACACACACACACACACAATAAACTGAACAAAATGAGATTGTCACAGTAACTATGTAATAACTATATCATAGTAACCATGACGATTGAGTTGGATAGAAAAGAAAGAAAAAAATCCAAAATGCATGAATTCACATGATACTCATCTATATAGAAGCATTTAAAATAAATAACTGTTCATATTCCCCAGCAACAACAACAACAACAAAAAATAAAAGCAAAAAAATAGAATCATCTAATTAATAATGAAATCATTGAATTTGTATTTTTTTTTTATCATATATCTGTAATCTATTACATAATACAATGTTTACAGTTTTCAAAAATGATGATAAGCAGATCGAAATTGTATCAGATCAAGTACACAATAAGTCATAGCAACAACAACAACAACAACAACCAACAACGACAATGATAATCGATATATCCAGTTTCATATAAGAAATAAAGAAGAGAACTGTACACATTTAAGAGTACCCCCCCTTCCTTTTCAATGGATCAATGTATATATTATAACAGAAAAATAAGATGATAATAATAATAATAAGAGTAAATCAATAATGTAATAAACTATGTGTAAAACAGTATGAAATCAACTGAGTAAATGAATGATTGAATAATTAAGTAATAAACTAGCACACATTACAAAAAAATCAATTCAATCAAGGAACATCACAGGTACTTGTATGACAATTTAAAAAAAAAAGAAGAGAAAAGAAAAGAAAAATGACACACAAACACACACGCACACACATAGTTTATCATGAATTAAACATAATGAGAATAATTGTTTTACACTAATCTTCTTTTGTTTTTTTTTCTCTTAGTTGAGTCATGGCAACAATAATGGTAACGACGACGACGGCGACGACAACAACAACAACAACAACGACGATAATTGCAACAAAATAATAATACTAAACAATTAAAAAAATGGATCATTTTTTAAAATTAGATTTAAATAAATTAAGAAAACGTGAATGAAATTTCATTTTTCTTGATTTTATAGGAATTCTTTCATTAGAATAAGGATGTGAATGAAAACTTGTAAATGAAAAAGATGATGATGTTGAGGATGATGATGATAATGAACGACTTGTTGCTGTTGTTGTTGTGTTGGTGGTGGTGACGACGGCGGCGGCGGCGGGGGTTCTTGTTGTTGTGGAACTCTGTGGTAATTGATGAATACTACTATTATTATTATTATTATTATATTCATGTAATAATGATTGTTTTTCATTACATATTATATCATTTTCATTATTCATTGTTGAAGAAACTGATAGAGATGAAGATTTATTTGGATAATGTTCATAATCTTTTATTATAGACATTGATGTATTAGGTAATTTCTGTTGACTTGTCTCTAATTCATTCCAATTTGATATTAGTATATTTGGATTATTCTTAATATCTAATTGTTTAGATGAATTTGTTAATGTTGTTGTTAATAATGGTGTTGATGTTATTGTTCTACCAATAATTTCAATAGATTTATCACTAATATCATGACTGCATGGTTTAGATAATGATTGATATGTATCATCAATAGATGAAGAATGATGATGTTTATGCGAACGTTTTAAAATTGGACCACAACTAAAAGTGTTCCGTGGAAGACAAGATACTTTTTTGTGTTTCACCGTTTGTGATGAAATAGATTGCTAACAAACAAACAAATATAAACAATAATGACAATTATGAAAAGTCAATAACTGATATTATGAGTCAATTGAAGCTAGATCAGCATGAAAAATCTGCAAGCACTGGAGAGCCGTTTCGTCACATTGTGGGACTCCTCAGTAGTGCACATCCACGACCTCGCGAACCCAGGACCTATCAGTCTCTCGCGTGACCGCTTAACCACTAAAACACCGGACTTTCTGGTATCCAATGGTGTTAATGTCTAACTTCAACTAATCCATAAAATTGAGTGACACATCCACCATTGTCTTCAGTGAGTTACTATCTCATAACTGACCCGGTTGAACTCCACTGGTCACTACTTCTCACTAGAACTCCATGAAATACCTTTTAAAGCCAGTCACTAGTGAGCATATGTTGGTTAATATCAGAAGGAGTTTTTGTGGATATTATAGTGATTTCAATAGTTCAAATGATATTAAAAACAATACATAAACGAAACATATCAACTTGCAATCTTCAAGTTAATTAAAATCCAAATTAAGTAAGAATTCATTTTATTGATTCAATCATCAGTCACCATTAGATCGTACTTAAAAGTTTCTTCAGATTATACATATTAATTATAAATAAAAAAACCCAGTTAACTTGATCTCGATTCCTAAAGATATGAAAGATAAGATGTCGGCTCAATGGTCTAGAGGTTAAGCGTTCGCAAGCGAAATTTAAGGTTGTGAGTTTGAGTCATGCCTGTGCGGTCGCGGATGAGGAGTTTCATACTAGGATGAAAGGGCGTTTCAGCGCCTACAGGTTTTCAATATTGGTCTAGCTTAAATTGAATCATGAATTCAACTATGAAACAATACACGGGAATCACTTGTAATTATAATGATCAGTAAATGATTGCTAACATTATGATAAGATTATATTCATATGTATGCATGTATTTAGATATACAATGAAAGCTCCACTTTAATCGATTTAAGTCAGAGAATTTAGCAGAATCAATACATATGTAGATATTCTTAATGTCATTACTTATTGCTAAATGACTTGAAGACAAATTCTATACCTAAGACTGACAACACATCAGATCCAAATGTTGGATGTTGTATGAGTTTGTTCGAGTGTATTGTTGTAACGTGTGTGACTGCAGGTTTTAGATAAGCAGCGTTTGTTTATCGATCGCTTCTGTGACAGTGACACGGGAAACACGTAGTGACGACCTAGTGCCCTGATTGGTCTCGCTTCCCTGTCTAGCCCAGCCAGTTGAGTCTAGAACGCAACTCACAGCCTCTGAGTTATGAATCATTGTATTTCAAACATACTCTATTTATATACCAAGCAAACAAACCACATCGTACCATAAAATAGAAAACAACATTTACACAATATTTTACAAGTGAAATAAACATCGACCAATAGGCAATGTACATTTAAGGTCCAAGACCACCATAGACTTAACACGATAATTATTGGTATATTTTTCCGACTATCCTAACATGTATAACACCTTTTAGTATTTCGATCAATGTCAAAAGTTAAATAGTCAGTTACTTAGTAACAACGTAGGATGTAGTACAGTTTTTTTAAAAAATTCTCAATACGAATGCACAGAGATAATTGTCGTGTTCAGATTAAGTGAAGCGGAATCTAAAGCAAAGAGAAGCAGCAGGGTCTAATGGATCTACCCTTTGAGAACTTTAAAGTTAGTAGTCCGACTTGAGCTGTAAGACTGACTGAGATCTTAGCAAGTTTGGTAACTAAACACAATTCCATATGACTGGTTTTAATTACAGAGGAATCAGTTTAATTAATATAGTGTTCAAAATATCAGACACTCCGCCTGGGGTCCCTCCAGGGGCTACTGCCGGTTCCAAACCCGGATAAAGGAGGAGGGTTGGGTATGGGATTAGCGACCCCATCCCGTAGAAAACTAACTCGCTAAAAAAACGCTAAAATATCAGACTTAATAATACTTCGATGTAAAAATAAAGCACATGAACAGCGAATTCGAGAAAACCAGATTTGTTTCAAACATGAACGTGGATGTTTAGACCAAATATGTTAGATAATAAATTCAAATTCTAGATAAGCCTGCTTAGAGAACAAACTGTTAGATCTAGAAATGAATGTTTTGTTTTGCACTATCAGAAAGATAATAGTAAGCACGAATTAATGATCGAATTCAAAGCAATTAACTTGGATTCTAGTCAGAATTGAACAAATTTTGCTAGTAGCTGTATTAGTAATACTGCAAGGTTGAGAATTTTATACTACATCGGACAAAGTGGACTCTCCCTTAATCTTTGCATGCATGAACGTCAGTTAGCCTTCAAACGCTATAACATGTCTTTACTTATATCAATACATGCGGACAACTTTGAACACACATTCGACTAAAAAAAATGCTGAAACAGTGGATAGAGGGAATGTTAAAAACACCAGTGAATATTCAGAAGCTTGGGGCTCAGATCAATCAGCAATCAACAAACACATTGAAATCGATCAAATCTATCAACCAATTCGAACAATCATGGACAAATATAAGACCAAAAATCAAATCGAAGGCAGATACAATCACAATAAAGAGATAAACAATGACAGATGATTAACAGTCAACAATAACCAATCAAGATCGGGGTCTACAGGACAAGCTGTGAGTCATATGTGAAGAAGTTTGAACATTTCATTTCTGCCTGAAGTTTGTGCTGATGATATTGTTCAGGAGAACAACGAAAGCTCTATGACCAAACCATCCAACTCAGAGAATAAAACTCCATTTAAATCATCCAGTTGGCCTACAAATCTCCACCATTTCAGAATTATATAGAGTTTGAAATGAGTTCTAATCGGCAGAATATTTAATTAAAAGTGTCAGAGTCTTTGAACTGACTGTGAGATGAGTAATTATGTTGTGTCCCGATAAGCATAATGAATGGTAACTTTTTGGATCCATTTCTGGACTAATACTACATATATTTTTATCGTATAATTGTTAAATAACTAAACTATTCATATCCATGTCTCTCTTATTATGAGCTTTGTTTTGACCTATGGACTATTATTATACGACTTACCATTCTTGGGCTGTGTCTGGTCTATCAATTACTACCTCTCACATTAACAGTCACTTTTGGCTAAAGCTTGTACAAATGTTGTTTCCTATTTTATGGTACGATGTGGTCTGTCTGGTTGGTATATAAACCCAGAATGTTTGAAATAAATGATTTACATTGCAGAGGCTGAGATTGACGTTCTGGACTTAACTGGCTGGGCTGGACGGATAAGTACTCTAGACTGCTGCTCGTACGGGTTTTACGTGTCATTGGTCCGATCGATAATTCACTGCTCTCTAATTGACGGTATCATTACGTTATACATTAACAGGGTACACAGGTTACAAGTTATAACAAATTAGAAGTGTTTACTGTTGTTAAGTTCAAGATGGAAAATGAAAAGAAACAACAACAACAGAACTTACTAATACTTCATTAGTTTTTATTAAGATTTTGATAAATTTCACATAAAAATAAACAAACTACTTACCATTATTCTCATTGGAATAAACATTCCATGAGTTATAAAATAATCAGGATCACTAATTCTTGATGTCATTGATGATATTTCAGATTTGGATTTGGATTTCGATTTTAATATTGATTTATTTCCCATTGTTTGAATAGATGATGAATAACTAGATCTAATCTAATATTAAAAGATTTATGGGAGAGAAATTAGTCTTAAAAGTACAGAGATACCTTTTCTTTCGGAAAAACAAATCACTCAGAGATTAAACTATAACAATAAATCATTCATTCATATCTATGAATGTGAACAATGAATAATAGTAAGTTTATTTGAAAAAGTGTAAAACTCCTGGATGAATAAAATATGTGATGCTAAGTGATTTATAGTAGTTACCAGGACAAATCTGACATTGATTACTGATCAATGATCACCCGAACGTAGTTGCTACTTTGACGTGGTGGTTGGGCTTGCCTATCGTGATGATCCAACCGAGCTATATTGGCTGGAATATATGTTCCTGTAGGTTCTACCATGACAGGTAGGTCGATTGGAGAACGGTAAGATTAAAAGCAGCAACTCAAGGTCTGAGGGCGAAGTCGTACTACTGACTGTGGTAAGGTTAGAAAAGGTCAACCCTAAAAATGTCACGCCTCACCTTACCTCGAGAATTTCCGTCTCCGGCGGTAAGGCCGTTTGGAGAACGGAGCTAACATGTTAGAAACCCCCCACAAAAAGGCCGTGTGCGGCCGGCCTTAGGCCGTTGTCTCTTGGGCTCTGCGGTCACACTCCCAGGTCGTTAAGACCAACAATAATCCAACTTCTTTTCAGGTTCCTCAAGAAATACCCTTCCACGGTGTGGACAACCGGGAAGTGATATCAGCCCTCATACACGTAACAGCACATGAAACTGCACAATAATCAGTCAACGTAGACATATCAGACTTATAGGAGGTCAAATGAGGTATGAATAGTTCAATTGTAGCATTTCAAAATGTTAAACTGGATGATATGGATTCGGGTTCCATAAGGAATATCAGTTTCCTTAAGTTTAGAATTATGCTTTGTACTTATAAAGAGGGTTTCTTGCTGACTATCCCCAGCCACCTTACACTAAAAATAGTGTACACGATACTGAGTAACATAAAGTAGTGGCCAGATTATAACGCAATATATAACATCTGATTAGTACGAAGGATTCTATAATCATAAAAAATTGTTGGTATTGACTGATCGATCAATGTAGAACGTGTACTATCCAAGATCTTCTAAATGTTTATCATTTATGTCAGTCAGTAATCCCTGAAAGTTTTGATAAAGACCCAATCTAGCAAGAAAGAAAGATTTTATAACTAAGTGATTACCTATTAAATTACAGTCAAGAAAACAGTCTTTTTGTTAGTAAATTATAACTACTTGTACTGTAAAACATTTTAAAGGTTTGTTTTTGGCTCATATAACGTGACATTGAATGATATAGTGTTTTACTAAGGCCATTATTGAACAAATCGTGCATACCTGAAAAATGGCTATATCTTAAAATTTATTGTTAGCTAATTGATGCATGTGAAATTGTCTTATGCTTGTAGGCCGAAAAATGAATGATTACAACAATAATCAACAATGTGTGGTAGATCTAGCTGTTATAGATAGTTGTTTTAGGTTGAAACAAATATCTATGAACAGTATCAATCAAATGCCTTGGTACGGTTAATGGTGAGGAAAATCCGCTCTCCTTCTCAAAATGTTCTCGTATGGCTATGCGTATATAGCCACAGACCAGGAAGTTCTACTCACTTCCTTCTAGTAGCGTGGGTTTTGTTTACGAAATTGAGAGAATTTTAGCATTTTAGTTGATATCAGTTCGTGATGAAAACCATAAATCTAATTCCTAACTCTAACCATCAACTGTAAACTATAATCGTGACCAGTGGAGTTAATCCGTTTCGGGTAGAAACAGGTGTCTAACTCAGTACAATGGAAGATAGTCGCGCGATTTCGTGGATTGGTTGAGGTTAGACATTAACACCATTGGATGCCGGCCGGCTCAGTGGTCCAGTAGGTTAAGCGTTCGCACGCGAGACTGAAGGCATAGGTGTGCGAATCCCGCGAGCAGGATCGTGGATGAGCACTGCTGAGCAGTCCCACAATAGGACGAAACGGCCGTCCAGTGCTTTCAGGTTTGCAAAGGTGGTGGTCTAACATCAATCGATTCATGATCTCATTCAAAAACTTAACAATCTCCACAACTCCTATACTTATAATCCTTATTCTTCAAACTGCTTTATAACCCTCATTTAACTCTAGTAAGAAGGTGTACATTCTAAAGATCATTACGGCGTCGATCAAATATTGTCCATCAATTATAGTCTCATCAAAACCATTTACACATAACTAACGAGTCATAAACTATTCACCTAAATATCATGGATCGATTATCTTTAACCAAAAATTAGAATGAAATAATGAATTGATAGAAGTACTTTATCTAGTAACTATTCATTGAAAACAAACAAACAAACTGTTTACAAACAAACATGTCAATAACTTATCACATGAAACATAATCATCTTTTACAAATATAAACACATGATGTATTTGATTCGTGTAAAATGTAATCATAACAACATAAGTAATGATTAGTTACTATGTGTTTTCTTTTTTTTTTTTTTGGGAAGTGTAACTTTCACAAATGATTATAATTATTGAAAACAACTTACCAATTGTTCATCAGAGGAAGGAATGAAATTTAAACGTCGACCACTAGTTATATTCTTTTCTTGTAAATTATTTAAAGTATAAGTTGGTTGAAGTGATTTATGACGTATTCCATCATAATGTTCTAACAAGAGAGATGTATCGCAAAGAAAAAGAAAATTAGATTAAAACTTTAGTAATGAAGTGAAATAGATTAGGAATTGAATGTAGTTTAGTCACTTACGCATTGTAATAGTGACATTGAGTTATGTTGATGTACAAAGTACCATCTTAATCAAAACCTAACAGTTTTAAAGATTATAATTAAGAACACCTGAAAAAAATCTCGACGAATTGACAACTAATTAACACCGTTGAATGCCAGTCAGCTTAGTGGTCTAGTGGTTAAGCGCTCACGCGAGAGACTGATAGGTCCTGGGTTCGAATCCCACGTGCCAGGGGTTGTGGATGCGCACTACTGAGAAGTCCCACAATAGGATGAAACGGTCGTCCAATGCTTTCAGATTATCCATGGTAGTCTAGCCTCAATTGATTCATGATCTCAACTATTAAAATTACTACAATCTCCACAAAACCCCTTCTTATACTAATGAAACAAAAAGATTTAACATATTAGTTCATTCGTCATCATTGATATTACGGAAGTACTACTGTTGAATGTGGATAAATATTTGAATGCTAAAGTGTATAGACGCACATCAATTAAAGCTGATTGCGTTTAATGAAATATTGTGCACATTTCTAATGTGGTGTATACTAATTTTGTTGATAGATATAAGTAGTATGTAACACCAATCAGAAGTGAAATGCCTAGGCATCAGAAGATTGAAAAGATCGAGTTGAAGTGAACAAGAATATAAACACAGAGTAATGGTAATAAAAACAGGAATGAGGGAACGATAAGGTTTTTAAGAGACAAATGATAAAAGATGTGCAGATGAAGTATTTAATGTACAGTTATACAAAAGAACTCTATAATTTTACATCAGTCAATCAAGTGGTTATCTAAAACAAGTTATCGTTCACTACACTAGCAATTTCTACCAGTTTCTTTTTCTCAATCCGCCTTCAAACATGATAGAATACAAATAATCCGTAGACAAATGTGTTATATTCGGACAAAGAATAAATGAATGGTAACCGTTCGGAAATATTTATGGACAAATCTTATACGTATATTCTTATTGTATGACTATGAAGTGACTCTGTTATATGTATATTCATATTCCTTTTATTATAAGCTTCCATTTGACCTATTGACTACTACTGTACGATTTACTATTCATAAGTTATTCCCAATTTATTAGTTCCAATCTCCCACACTCACAACCCCTTTTTGGCTTGATCTTGTACAAATGTTATTTTCTATTTTGTGGTACGATGTGGTCTGTTTGGTTTGTATGTAAACCAAGTACATATCACTGCTGCTAAGATTGAGGTTTTGGACTTAATAGACAGGGCTCAACGCAAAAGGACTAATCGGAACTCTAGGCTGCTTGTTCTGGTGTATGCGTCATTAGTTTGGTCTTATAAGTCGGCGGATCTTAATTCGACAGTCGTATTTCATGATGATCGTATAAGCTAAGGACAAAACAAAATAAGTAACAGTTGTGATATGGACAACATAATGACATAAGAACAATTATGCATTGTCATATGTACCGTATATATTAAAAAGACCAAATTTAACATTTACAAAGTTGAATATACACTGTTATACTTTAGTATACAACATAGTGCCTCCAAATGCCCTGATACGACAGAAGGTGGGAAGAGTCCGTTCCCCCTCTCGAAATGCTCTCAAATGGCCACGTGCATACAACCACTGACAATGAAGTTCTGTTCACTGCCCTCTCGCGGCGGGGATACTGTTTACGAAATTGAAAGGACGAAAAGCGAATGTTCGGAGCTTTAATCGGGTTGGTGGATAGGGATAATCCAACTAGGGGAGTTGGAAAATCCTAATTTCAAACCAATGGTCCACATGGGCATAAGGATCCTGAGGGAACAAATGGCGTATGAATATATTATTGGACATCGGATACCATGAGACTACATTTTCCGACGTTACTCTATTGCCCTGTGGATCAGACCTTCAGGTCAAGGGATCCGGGTGTGGTCTCTTAAGAAAATCACCTGCTTTATTTTGAGCACCGGGACAGTATACCAGCCCTCACACAAAACTATGATAGTTTTATTTTCTCATTAGTTAACATAAATTCAAAATGTATTATATGAAGCTATAAACAATGGGAAAGTAAAAAAACATTGTCAGGAAAACAAGAATGTATACATTGCAAATACAATTCAGCTGATTTATAGTACATATGTATCATACAATGAAATAGTAGATAAGATATTCGTCTTCTGAACTTTCAATGAAAATTAATTCGCAGATTTATTGCTTGTCATTGTTGCTATGTTTCGACTCATGGATGGTTGTTGAAGTTTTAGAAGTAACGTTTGTTGATTCAAAAAGTTTAAGAGTGACATGTTATCTTATTATCAACATTATTATCACTCTATGAGTCTGTAGGGGCTGGTACTATGTCAAAGCCCATATGTATAGGTCTTTTACCCCTCTGGATAGGCCAATTTATTCATCATTCTCAAGCCACATTTTTACCATGTTAGTTATTAGATTGTAGTGACCTACTTTTATCAAGAGAACGCGATTGGTTTAATGGAAACAATCATTATTATAACCAATTGTACCAGTGATTGTTTTACTGTACTTGTTTGTTTGACTGTACCAAAACACATGCGTTCTTCCGTTGATTGTGACCTTGCACGGATTCGGTTACGCTCAGTAACCACACTTGTACTCCTTTGGCACGATCTCGGTATTCTTTCGATACCACGAGATTGCCAACAAATACATTTCGACTACAGCCATCGACTGCCTCCTGATATTTTGGCTTACGGGGGATCTTATCGGTTAACTGGCACATAGTCTTCCTGTAGTGGTGATCATAGTCAACAACGACTTGACGCCGCACTACAAGCTAACCAACTTTGACTGTTTTTATATGTGAGTGTATGTGTGCGTTAATTACTTACCCTATTCATCATATTTCTGTAACTCATTTTTCTTTTACTATAAATATCGATTAATGATTGATTAAATAGAATTGGCTCACTCGCTTTCTGCACTGATCGTCATTTCGTTTTGCTTAGCTCTTTCCTTTTCACTTTGTTTCTCTGATTGTCTGTTCAGATGAACTATTGTACGAAATATACGTATTCAAAATCTATTCTCATATTTGATTTATTTAATTCCGTTATGCACCAACGGCTATTTAAGTCAGTGATTACATATGACAGTAGTTGGGATATATATTTTAGTAGCAATCAGAAACGATCAAACTGGAATCAGACATAAGGCCATTAAAAGTCTATTAGAGCTACAAACGTTCCACATCAATGGACTAAATAGGTAATATTACATTAAAAAGAATGTTAATTATAAATAAGGGATCAATAAAATACTAAATAACATATTAATCAGTACCTGAACGTAATGAAGTTTTGTCCGTTCCTAAGCTTAAATCTTCTTCAATCGATGACAATCCTTGACTGCTTTTATTTAACAAGCCTGTTAACCGGTTTAATTGACTGTTTGCATTTGTCAATCTCTGTCTTAAACACCAATTCGTATCAGACTGAAGGTCTAGCTAAATACGAATAAGCATATAAATGAATAGAAAAAAAACAAGATGTTATATGAAGTTTGATAAACAATGAAAACTAGGTATCATAGCATTTATAATTTATGCGTTAGTCGTAATCAGTCATCTGCAACATAGGACTAGGCACATATATGAATCAGTCCAAATTGACATACCTAATTAGTACAAGACGAACACCAAATTCATAGAAACAGTTACTTCAATGGTAGTGTTAGTTTGTAGAAAGAAAGGTATAAAGTAGTTTTAATCTCACAGACGAAGAGTGTTTACACTGACGTCGTTGTGATCGATCCTGAGCCATATCACCCAAAGTATCTAACCATTGGCTATTATAGTTGGGTGCACCTCAACCAGGTAGTTTGCATCTTCCAACATGGCATAGACCAGAAGTTATTGACTTTATGAACTGATGCTACGTTTTGGTTTGCCCGCCACTAACTTTTTTCAATCCGTTGTAGATAGATATAGAAGTAGTCAGTTAGGAGTATGTTTATTTTTCATTTACAAGTAAAACAGTTTCTAGCTTTTAAAAATTTAGTATAGTTTAGTCGTATAAAATATTCTCTTAAGTATATTGACGGCTTAGTTATCTTTAAATGTTATAATATGTGTAGCAAGTTAAGTCATAGAAACTTCATCAGTTGAGATGGCTGGGACACATGTTACGTATGCCCAACCACCGACTGCCTCGACGTGCGATGTTCAGTGGTATAAGAGTAGTTTGGAAGAATGTTAGGGGCGGCCAGACCAAAACATGGCACAAATCTATGAAGTCACTGACAAGTCGACTGAGTCATGTTGGTAGGTGTAGACTACCTGGTTGGGGACTGCGAGATGATAGCAATCGATGGTTAGAGACCCTGAATGACATGACTCAAAATCGTTTGCAATGACGCAGGTGCATCTACTCTTTGTGTTCTCCCAAATTCTAATCTTCTGATTCCTCCTTGTCTCTTTTTTTTCTTTTCAAATTTACTTCACTGGATTATACTCTTTCAATAACATCTACAAACCCTAATCTTTCCGATTGCTGCTTATACTCTTACTACCTCTACCACTATGGGAGTTGAATCGACAACTGCATCTCTGTGCTAATGTGGTATGGCAACTCGAACTGATGTACGTACGTACGAAGTTCTACGTTGTTACTGACTGACTGAAGTCATCAAAATGAAGTTTCATGTTCCTATATGTGAAGCGTTTATTGAAAAACTGTTTCTCAACTGTTGTTTTTCAAAAGGAAAGAATTTTCTTCATTAATTCATCCTATATTACAGACATCATGTATCCGAATTCATATAGAGTGAATAAAACTGTTATTTCTGTAAAATAGCACCCAGATGTATAGAAGTTGGTTAGTTGCCAGTTCCATCTTTATTTTGTAGAGATAGATCATTCTATCTTTTCAGAATTACACCATGAAAGGAGATGGATGAATTTACTTCACTTTTAGAGTTGAATGACCTATTTTGGAAGAAGGTAAAACATCAGCTGTGTAAACATTCTCATCACAAATGACCAATGTGTCGTCTATATTACGTAAACAAGTTGAAACATTTAATAACTTATTCGAATAGATGATTTTCAAGTTTCAACATGCGATAATACACTAAGAATGGGGGGGGGCACAGCAGATCTTATGGCAATCATATCCTTTTGGTCTATAAAACCACATTATGTTAACATTGAGATTGAAGCGTTAAGATTGTCATATAACAATATACACAATCAGTTAAATGCATAAAATGTTTTTATTGAGATCATGAATCGATCGATGTTAAACCACCATTGGAAACCTGAAAATACTGGACAACCATTTCGTCCTATCATAGGACTCCTCAGGAGGGTGCATCCACGAACCCAGGACCTTCGGTTTCGCGCGTGAACACTCAAACCTCTAGACTAATGAACCGGCATCCAGTGGTGTTAATGTCTAACTTTAACCAATCCACGGAAATTCATTTTACTTACTTCAGATGTAACAATATGATATTGATCTAAAAGATATTTGGCTAAACTGCGTAATTCATGCAAATTTCTCAAATGATCCACAGAACTAATTAATTCATTTATTGATGCTTTTTCTGAACGTCTTGGATAAGTTAAATTTGTTGTAAAACTTAAATTAGATGAATCAGATATTTCAGAGATCTGTTTAGATTGTGAAAACGATGTAGTAGTTGTAGTGGTATTAGTAGGTGTAATAGATGAAAGAGTTTGAATAAAACAAGTAACTCCTGAAGTTGTCGTTGTAGTGATACTTACAACACTTGTATTACATCCTGGATGTTCTTCTAATAATGATGATGTTAAACATGGAGAAAATGAGGGAGATGATTGAAGGCTTTTTTGAACATTTTTTTCATGAGTTTGTTGTTGTATAGTATTGTTTATTGGGATAGTTGTTAATAATTTCGTCAAGATATTGATTAACTCTTCTTGTCTGTGTTCAGATAATAATGGTTTTTTCGATTCAAGAAAATGTTGATTCATTTGATTTAATGCATTCAATGCATTTTGAACTAACGTATACAAATGTTGTTCATACCACTGAAAAAAAAGAAGTATAGAATTTTAGTTATTTGTGTATTATATATGAATCTATTACTTAATAGAGCGGATTACCTAGTGAGACGGATGACTCACGAACTAACGTGAGCGGTAACCTAGGTGGTAAAGATCTGGCTAATCACCCACTTGATCGATACCCTCAAACCGATTACGAACTCCACAAAGAAATACAGCACAATTACTCTTGGATGGAAAAAGGACAAAAGTGGTGCATGTAATGTACGGGGTTGCTCCTTACAGGGCAAACTTGAACTGGTTGCAAAAACAGCTATTCTAGTACCGGTAGTTGTGCTGTGTTTTGATGTGGCCTGTTTCCCTCCAGAAGGGCCTACCAGGCCTCACCAACTTGTTTGGCTGGAAGGGGGGACACTTAGTAACTGTGGGAAAAAAAACGTGACAAAACAACTGGTTGATAGTCGTAAAATGATCCAAGTGAGTTGGCAAAATAGTTATTCTCTTTTCTTGAACCTAAGCTTTAAACTTCAGTTGAGTTCTGTCACAACAATGAAGTACTGATCAGAGTTTGTTTAAAATCTACAAAAAAGTTGAAAAATGTTTGTATTCCACATCACCGATATTTATCATATCATCAATTACATTCAGTTATCATGAAGAATATCTTTCCAATCAAGCAATAAGTTAGAATAGGTGGTAAATGTTAATAAACTTTGGTTGTTTACCAATATTCGAATACATTTGGAGGAAGTTAGTCTGGTAAACTTGCCTGATTTAGCGTACGTTTAGATAATACATATGAAATTTCGATTTTACAAATATTCAGTGTCATTTTCCTTCAACTAACGATTGGGTGTACGATCAATAAATACTTGATCTTTCTGGGGGGAAAAAAGCACATTAAATTTATATAATTCATTCTCAATTATAAAGCATTGAGAGATTCGGAAAAGTAAACAACATCGAATGTGTTCCATAATTTATAAATAAGGTGGAGATATTTAGCTTCTTAGGTCTTATTAGTAACATTCAGCTAGGAACTAATCATACAGTAGAGCAATTGAGGAGTCTTCTGACTTTAAATGACTTATTTTTATCCCACTTATTTTCTTTGATATAACGACAGTCAATGGAATTATAGTACCATTTCGATAATGCAATGAGAAGACGAAGTTTATCAGAATTATTTTGGACCCAATGAATGCACAAATGTTTCTTAGGTTCGCGGTTCGTATCTGCCTCGTCAATGTCTAATGCTTAAATAAAGTTGGTGGGTATGGAGCATCCATCTGAGGAGGTTGGAAAAGTGATTCCAAAACAATGGTGAACATAAACTCAAGAATTCTGAGAGATCGAATGGATTAGGAACCTATTGTTGGTAACCAGATATTGTAGGATTGCATCTCCTAACATTGCCCCTTTGCCTTGTGGACCATAGGCACGGATGTGGTCCCCTCGTAATAGGACCACCTGCTTTGGCTTTAGTACCCAGATAGTATTACGGCTCACAAACAAATCCAATGATTTGTTTGGTGCCCTTTTGTAACAATATTTATGTGTTTACATAAATAGATAGACAGACAGAAATCCTATCGAAAATCAAATCAACAGTCAGATTTTCATTGTTCCGATGCTGTTTATCGGTTATAAGTTAAATGATAACCGTCAGCCACAAACAAAATGACACTAAGCACATATGAGTAACAATACAAGCTGCCACATCACGTTAAGATGACAACAGGAAGTTAAGAGAGAAAAAAATCCCATCTAGTTTTCAAATACTCATCTAATGATCATAAATCCTTTTTGAGGTATACAGATGGCGACTTTATTTGTAGAACGCTTGCATAGGTAAACACATTCAGCACAAATAAGCCTCCTGTAGTTATTCTCATGAAAGTGATCATTAATAATGAGAAGATTATAGGGGATTCAACATTGTTTACTACTATAACCCCCAAATGCCCTGGTACGGCCGAGAGTGGGGAGAGTCCACTCTCCCTCTCCAAATGCTCTCACATGGCCACGCGTATATAGCCTCTGCCAGGGAAGTCCTACTCATTGCCTTCTCGTGACACAAGTGTTGTTTACGAAAATGAGAGGACGAAAAGCGAATGTCCGGCGCTTTAACCGGATCCTAAACCCATGGTGCACATGGGCTGGCTCCAGTATCCTGTTGGAACAAATGGCGTATGAACCAATTGTTGGTCACCGGCTTCCATGGGACTGCATCTCCTTACGATGTTCCACTGCCTTGTGAGTCAGACCTTCAGGTCGATGGCTCGGGGAGTGGCCCTCTAAGAAAACCACCTGCTTCGGTTTAGGCACCCGAGCAGTAGCACAGCTCTCACACATATCGAATGATATTTGTGTGGCGCATATGTATTTGGTGCCTCCTTGTATCAATATGTATGTGTTAAAATAAATCAATAAATAATTATTAGAAAATTAATAATAAAATATCACTTACATCCATATCTTCATGATAAGATATTTGATCAGTAGATTGATTTGTCATTTCTATTGTTTCAACATTTATAAATAATTGATTCTTGGAAGTAGATGATATTCTATCGATTTGTTGTTCAATAGATTCTTGTGATTCGAACATATTGATATTAATACGATGAATTGGTATACTATTTATATCGATTGGATCTATATTTTCCCAATATATGAATTTATTAAGTTTCTTTATGAGAAATTGATTGTTTAATATAGATGGAGATAAATTATATTTATTATGGTTGATTGATTCTTCTTCTTCTTCAGATTTATTATTTGTTGAAATGATGTATAATAGTTCCGTATCACGTAAATGTAATAAACGTAGAACAAACTCTAGTGAATATTGGTCCGTATTGTTAGTAGATTTTGTATAATTGTTTGAAATAATAGTCTGAAATTGTTCTGTATCATGAATTCTATTATCATCAGAAGAATCATGTGATTGTTTTTCGTCACTTATAGAATGTACATCAGGTGGAATAGGTACTTTAGTTGAAAATGATATCACTTCATCTGTAGAATGAATAACAGAAGTATCTTTCAATTCGTTAGTAGAATAATCTCTTCTTATATCCAGTAAGCTTTGTTCTGTGTCATTGACATTGAAATCTTCTTCAACTATTCTACTAATATCAAAAGAACTATCTGATTGTTTCTCATCACTTAACAAATGTACATCAGGTGGAATAGGTACTTTAGTTAAAAGTGATATCACTTCATCTGTAGAATCAATAATAGGAGTATCTTTCTGATGTTTATTATCAATACATTCAATAGTTTTACTTTTCTCGTTCAAAAATATTTCTTTATCAAGTATATATTGATTTGATACGTAAATATCTTCTTTTACTTCATTTTCTACATTAGTATTATCTTCATCATCATCATCTAATGTTTTGATTTGTTCAGTATTCTTTTGTTCTATTTGTTGTATCATCTGTTTTCTAATAGAATTTAATTGATTTGTATATAGTTTAATTTTTTCCATGATATTTTCAATCTCTATATTGATAGAAAAATTCTCTGTATCATTATCATTACTTATATTGATTGATTCAGTTGACATAGTAACTAAATTATTAGTTACTATGTTATCTATGATAATTGTTTGATTATTAATTGATGATTGTAATTGAATCATTTCAATATGAAGTTTATTACATTCTTTATTTAATTGATTTAATTTATCATTTAATAAATTATATTGATTTTCTATAATACTTATTCTATTGATATAAGTTTGGAAATCTTTAATCAATATATTAAATATTGGCATAATTTCATTTGGATTTAATATATTTATAGAATAATCATCATTCAAATGATTACAACTCATTGAAAGGATATCTCTTGGAGTTGTTGTTGTTGTTGTCGTAGTTGCGGTTGCTATATCATGATCATTATTGATTTTATTTCGTAAAATCAATAAATCATTCAATATTATATTCATATTGATTTTCCATTGATTATTGATTTTTTTCAAATCAATCAATTGTTGTTGAATACATTTTGAATTATTTAAATCCATTTCAATTTTTTCAATTTTTGATATGATTTTATTTATTTTATTCAGCAAACAATGACCAGTTTGGATTATAGAATTATTGAATTCGTATAATTGTTCTTGTTGTTGTGGTGGTGGTGGAGGTGGTGATGATGATGGTGGTGGTGGAACAAGTACATTGAATTCATTTTCTATAGAACTAGATCTTGATATTAAATTATTATTAGAATGAATAATATTTTCTACTTTCTTCCAATAACAATATTGATTTGTAGTTTGTTTTAATTCATTTATTTTATTTAAATATAAACCTTCAATTAATAATTGATAAATGATATTATAATTATTTTTATAATCAATAATTTCTTTGATTAATTCTTTTCTATTATTTAATAAATAATCAATAAATTTGAAGTATTGATCACATTCAATTGATTCTTCATTGGATATTGATTTATTATTATTATTATTATTGATTAATGATTGGAATATGTTTAATTCTTTTGTAATTTCATTCAATATTTTATGATATAATTGATTATTGATTATTACTAATTGATTATTTTGTTTAGTTAAATATAAATTTTCAAAATAAATTTTTTCAATTTCTAATTGTGTATCATTATTGAATTTCTTTTGTATTTGTTTTTCTTCTTTTTCTTTGACTTCTTCTTGTTCATGATGTCTATTTAGTCTTATATTATATAATAGATGAGATAATCGATTTATTTCTGATTTAGCAATAAGAAGTTGATGTTCAAGATCAATTTGTTGAGTTTCATTAGATATTGATTGTTGTAATATAAATTGTGGATAAATTGTATTAGAATGATGATCAGATAACAAATCACCAGAAGCGTTCACATCATGATCATGATCATCATGATCATTATCATCGGTACCATTCATTGGATTAATGTGAGGATATTGTGCTTTTAATATGTCATTGTAAACATCAGGATGTTGGATAGAAGAAATACAACGAATACATAAATTACATATAAAACTACGATGACAAACGTCTTGGATTTTACATAAACTACAGGAAGATAGACAACCGGATAACAGTAATTCATGTAGATTACTGAAATATGTCAAACTATTAGAATAATCACCAAAAACATCAACAAAATTAGAAGATTTTGAAAAAGAAACAATATCTGACAAAAGATCTATAAAATCAGCACACAATATACGATCAAAATTGGTATTTGAAAATCTAGATAAATCCAAAAGTAAATTTACAAAAACTGATAGTAACTTCATACATAAATCAACAAAATCCGTAGCAAACGCTAACGACATTGAAATTCTTGAAAATTTCTGCTTAAGATCAGAAAGCTCATCATGCAAAAATATACTATGTGCACCGTCGACGTCAGCACTATCACAAAAACCAAGTCGATCTGAAAAAAGAACACGATGAGAACGTATATCAGACACCACTTCCTTGCTCTCCAACACATCCATATTTGCACGCATTATGTCCAAATCACGTCGTTCTGCCTCTACAGTCTCCCTCAACTCATTCACTTCGTCTCGTAAATGACGCTTCTCCTCTCTCAGATCCGCCACTTCACTCTCCTTCACAGTCAACAAACGCCGGACATCCATCAACGAAGCATCACTCTCCTCCACCGATCTAGACAGCTTCACTATCTGTTCATAACAAGACGTCAACTCTTCGCGCAGTTGACCAACCACATTCGACTCATCTTCACACAAACTTGAACTCACTAGCTTCTCTCTCGTCATCTCCACTGGACTCCTGGTCGACTGATCTACGGTCGACTGATCGGTAAATCCTGAAGTTGACAATGTGTCAGTAGCCAACCAAGACACGCTGTCTGTCGCTTGAGTCGCCACACTCACAAGTCTAGTCGGAGAACCAACCGACACACTAGGCTTGTGCTCGTCGTGTATGCATTCTGAGGAGTAGTCGCTCCAACCGTCAACAACCATGCAATTCGACTCGTCGTCCTCTGCATCTTTACCAACGCCCACTCTCACAGTCTCTCTCGTATCACTAGTGAACCCTGATGACAAAGCTATATCACGTTCAATCATACGATCTAGCACGTCAGTTCCCATGTCACTTCTGCACACTGTTTTTGCCAACCTGGCGTCCACATCGTCTGCCATATCCAACCTACTACGCAGTTCCAACAACTCTTTCATGGCTGTGTCGCGTTCTCTCACAATTTCGTTTACGCGCGACTCCCAGTCTCGACTGGCTATCGCCAACACTGTGTTGCAATGCTCTTCCATCGATGTCTCAAGCCGACACACTTGATCCCGTAGTGCAGAACACTCGTCACGAGAAGCAGACAGTTGACTCTCCAGATCTGACATTGCGCAAACCTTCTCGTGTCTATAGGCCTCCAGTTCCTCTCGGGCAGTTGACGCCTGTTCGACTGCCTGACGAAGAGCTGTTTGCATCAACACCATCTCAGATGCCTGCTTATCACACAGGTCTCGACACTTGCAGAGCTCCTCAGACAGCTCACGGTTCCGGTCGCACAGTCTGCTCATCTCACTTACCGAATCCCAATCTTGTCCTCTCTGCATCGACGTCACTTCATGAGACTCTTGTAGTCGCACAAAGCTATCAAGCATAACAGTAGACTCCAAGTGTTCTGGCCATGTCATTGTCTCACACTCACGGTCCACGTGTTCAACCACACCATGGGACAACCCTGTTGTGACGGCATCTAAACACTCCTGCACTCGTTGTTCGTGCTCTCTGCACCAATCTCCATAGTCGGAACGCAGACCTCTTATATGGTCAACCACAAACGCCAACAGTGCTTTCGTCTTGGTCACATCATTCTCCAAGTCAGTAATCACAGTCATATAACTCTCTAGACGACGCTTCAGCGACTCACACTCACAGATCAGGGCATTGTTCATTGACTCACATTCTTTCAGTTTCTCAGTGACTGCCTCCAGCTCGAACGATTGTGTATCCAGTGCACGCTGCAAATCCTCTCGCAACCCGTCTGATGTGCAACGGTCAGTCGACGAGCCTTCGTGTGCATAGTCGATGTCTTGCACTGGTGACGTGGATCGACCAACTGTTTCGCACAGGCGATGTGAAACCCGTTCGTACTCACTCATTCTGTTCGCCATTTCGGCGCGGTCAGCATTCGCCTCAGCATGTGCTGCACGCAATTCTCTCACCTGCTTCAACAAGAAACCCAGTGATCCTCTGACCTCATCCATCTCCATGCACACATCGTCCAACAGTGTCACGCGCTCTGAAATCTTACTTCGTAACAAGTCTACCTCTGTCATCAGCTCTTTGTTGTGCTTCGACAGTGCATCAGCTTCGTCCGTCACTTTCATCGACCGGTCAGGCACACGAGAACTAAGAGGCATCACATCCATCGGCTTATCTTCACACATCATAACGCCTTCCAGCTCACGCAGACGCACACTCAACTCTGTCTTGGCATTCTCAAGTTCGCAGATTCTGCTCATGGCCTCCTTCAATCGCGCTCTTAGGCTGTCTGTATTCAACAGGGCAAGTTCGGGATCGTCATTGTCTTGTTCACTCGGCGGTTTCGTCCAACTCTGAGTGGCGTGAATGGGCAAGACCACTTCCTCGTTCGAAACGCCCTCAACACACAAGTCCGTAGTTTGTCTGTCCATTCGATCAGGCACAATGCCTGACACTGAGTCGCTTGCAACAGTCTCCACCAGCTGCATGTCAGGAACTCCGGCAAACACGTCTGCCTCCACTCTGTCTGTGTCATCAACCTCTGCCAACTCACGGACAACCACATCGGGCGCCTTTCTCACAGTCTCACAAGGAATCCAACAAGTTGTCTCGTTCACCATCATACGTGACTCCGGTTCCTGCACTTCGGTCTGTTTCATGCTCAACTCGAGCTGTGAACGCTCCAGAGCCGCCAACGTCGCCGCATTTTCCTCACGCAGATGGGCAACCTCGAGCTGCAACGTCGACACCAGGTCAAAAACTTCGTCGTCAATCTCCGTCTGCACACACTCCTCCTCCACAGCAGCAGCAGCAGCAGCAGCAGCAGCAGCAACGTTCGGTCCACGACACTCCACGCACATCGCCGACACCTCTTCCTTGCTCTCCAACACATCCATATTTGCACGCATTATGTCCAAATCACGTCGTTCTGCCTCTACAGTCTCCCTCAACTCATTCACTTCGTCTCGTAAATGACGCTTCTCCTCTCTCAGATCCGCCACTTCACTCTCCTTCACAGTCAACAAACGCCGGACATCCATCAACGAAGCATCACTCTCCTCCACCGATCTAGACAGCTTCACTATCTGTTCATAACAAGACGTCAACTCTTCGCGCAGTTGACCAACCACATTCGACTCATCTTCACACAAACTTGAACTCACTAGCTTCTCTCTCGTCATCTCCACTGGACTCCTGGTCGACTGATCTACGGTCGACTGATCGGTAAATCCTGAAGTTGACAATGTGTCAGTAGCCAACCAAGACACGCTGTCTGTCGCTTGAGTCGCCACACTCACAAGTCTAGTCGGAGAACCAACCGACACACTAGGCTTGTGCTCGTCGTGTATGCATTCTGAGGAGTAGTCGCTCCAACCGTCAACAACCATGCAATTCGACTCGTCGTCCTCTGCATCTTTACCAACGCCCACGCTCACAGTCTCTCTCGTATCACTAGTGAACCCTGATGACAAAGCTATATCACGTTCAATCATACGATCTAGCACGTCAGTTCCCATGTCACTTCTGCACACTGTTTTTGCCAACCTGGCGTCCACATCGTCTGCCATATCCAACCTACTACGCAGTTCCAACAACTCTTTCATGGCTGTGTCGCGTTCTCTCACAATTTCGTTTTACGCGCGACTCCCAGTCTCGACTGGCTATCGCCAACACTGTGTTGCAATGCTCTTCCATCGATGTCTCAAGCCGACACACTTGATCCCGTAGTGCAGAACACTCGTCACGAGAAGCAGACAGTTGACTCTCCAGATCTGACATTGCGCAAACCTTCTCGTGTCTATAGGCCTCCAGTTCCTCTCGGGCAGTTGACGCCTGTTCGACTGCCTGACGAAGAGCTGTTTGCATCAACACCATCTCAGATGCCTGCTTATCACACAGGTCTCGACACTTGCAGAGCTCCTCAGACAGCTCACGGTTCCGGTCGCACAGTCTGCTCATCTCACTTACCGAATCCCAATCTTGTCCTCTCTGCATCGACGTCACTTCATGAGACTCTTGTAGTCGCACAAAGCTATCAAGCATAACAGTAGACTCCAAGTGTTCTGGCCATGTCATTGTCTCACACTCACGGTCCACGTGTTCAACCACACCATGGGACAACCCTGTTGTGACGGCATCTAAACACTCCTGCACTCGTTGTTCGTGCTCTCTGCACCAATCTCCATAGTCGGAACGCAGACCTCTTATATGGTCAACCACAAACGCCAACAGTGCTTTCGTCTTGGTCACATCATTCTCCAAGTCAGTAATCACAGTCATATAACTCTCTAGACGACGCTTCAGCGACTCACACTCACAGATCAGGGCATTGTTCATTGACTCACATTCTTTCAGTTTCTCAGTGACTGCCTCCAGCTCGAACGATTGTGTATCCAGTGCACGCTGCAAATCCTCTCGCAACCCGTCTGATGTGCAACGGTCAGTCGACGAGCCTTCGTGTGCATAGTCGATGTCTTGCACTGGTGACGTGGATCGACCAACTGTTTCGCACAGGCGATGTGAAACCCGTTCGTACTCACTCATTCTGTTCGCCATTTCGGCGCGGTCAGCATTCGCCTCAGCATGTGCTGCACGCAATTCTCTCACCTGCTTCAACAAGAAACCCAGTGATCCTCTGACCTCATCCATCTCCATGCACACATCGTCCAACAGTGTCACGCGCTCTGAAATCTTACTTCGTAACAAGTCTACCTCTGTCATCAGCTCTTTGTTGTGCTTCGACAGTGCATCAGCTTCGTCCGTCACTTTCATCGACCGGTCAGGCACACGAGAACTAAGAGGCATCACATCCATCGGCTTATCTTCACACATCATAACGCCTTCCAGCTCACGCAGACGCACACTCAACTCTGTCTTGGCATTCTCAAGTTCGCAGATTCTGCTCATGGCCTCCTTCAATCGCGCTCTTAGGCTGTCTGTATTCAACAGGGCAAGTTCGGGATCGTCATTGTCTTGTTCACTCGGCGGTTTCGTCCAACTCTGAGTGGCGTGAATGGGCAAGACCACTTCCTCGTTCGAAACGCCCTCAACACACAAGTCCGTAGTTTGTCTGTCCATTCGATCAGGCACAATGCCTGACACTGAGTCGCTTGCAACAGTCTCCACCAGCTGCATGTCAGGAACTCCGGCAAACACGTCTGCCTCCACTCTGTCTGTGTCATCAACCTCTGCCAACTCACGGACAACCACATCGGGCGCCTTTCTCACAGTCTCACAAGGAATCCAACAAGTTGTCTCGTTCACCATCATACGTGACTCCGGTTCCTGCACTTCGGTCTGTTTCATGCTCAACTCGAGCTGTGAACGCTCCAGAGCCGCCAACGTCGCCGCATTTTCCTCACGCAGATGGGCAACCTCGAGCTGCAACGTCGACACCAGGTCAAAAACTTCGTCGTCAATCTCCGTCTGCACACACTCCTCCTCCACAGCAGCAGCAGCAGCAACGTTCGGTCCACGACACTCCACGCACATCGCCGACACCTCTTCCTTGCTCTCCAACACATCCATATTTGCACGCATTATGTCCAAATCACGTCGTTCTGCCTCTACAGTCTCCCTCAACTCATTCACTTCGTCTCGTAAATGACGCTTCTCCTCTCTCAGATCCGCCACTTCACTCTCCTTCACAGTCAACAAACGCCGGACATCCATCAACGAAGCATCACTCTCCTCCACCGATCTAGACAGCTTCACTATCTGTTCATAACAAGACGTCAACTCTTCGCGCAGTTGACCAACCACATTCGACTCATCTTCACACAAACTTGAACTCACTAGCTTCTCTCTCGTCATCTCCACTGGACTCCTGGTCGACTGATCTACGGTCGACTGATCGGTAAATCCTGAAGTTGACAATGTGTCAGTAGCCAACCAAGACACGCTGTCTGTCGCTTGAGTCGCCACACTCACAAGTCTAGTCGGAGAACCAACCGACACACTAGGCTTGTGCTCGTCGTGTATGCATTCTGAGGAGTAGTCGCTCCAACCGTCAACAACCATGCAATTCGACTCGTCGTCCTCTGCATCTTTACCAACGCCCACGCTCACAGTCTCTCTCGTATCACTAGTGAACCCTGATGACAAAGCTATATCACGTTCAATCATACGATCTAGCACGTCAGTTCCCATGTCACTTCTGCACACTGTTTTTGCCAACCTGGCGTCCACATCGTCTGCCATATCCAACCTACTACGCAGTTCCAACAACTCTTTCATGGCTGTGTCGCGTTCTCTCACAATTTCGTTTACGCGCGACTCCCAGTCTCGACTGGCTATCGCCAACACTGTGTTGCAATGCTCTTCCATCGATGTCTCAAGCCGACACACTTGATCCCGTAGTGCAGAACACTCGTCACGAGAAGCAGACAGTTGACTCTCCAGATCTGACATTGCGCAAACCTTCTCGTGTCTATAGGCCTCCAGTTCCTCTCGGGCAGTTGACGCCTGTTCGACTGCCTGACGAAGAGCTGTTTGCATCAACACCATCTCAGATGCCTGCTTATCACACAGGTCTCGACACTTGCAGAGCTCCTCAGACAGCTCACGGTTCCGGTCGCACAGTCTGCTCATCTCACTTACCGAATCCCAATCTTGTCCTCTCTGCATCGACGTCACTTCATGAGACTCTTGTAGTCGCACAAAGCTATCAAGCATAACAGTAGACTCCAAGTGTTCTGGCCATGTCATTGTCTCACACTCACGGTCCACGTGTTCAACCACACCATGGGACAACCCTGTTGTGACGGCATCTAAACACTCCTGCACTCGTTGTTCGTGCTCTCTGCACCAATCTCCATAGTCGGAACGCAGACCTCTTATATGGTCAACCACAAACGCCAACAGTGCTTTCGTCTTGGTCACATCATTCTCCAAGTCAGTAATCACAGTCATATAACTCTCTAGACGACGCTTCAGCGACTCACACTCACAGATCAGGGCATTGTTCATTGACTCACATTCTTTCAGTTTCTCAGTGACTGCCTCCAGCTCGAACGATTGTGTATCCAGTGCACGCTGCAAATCCTCTCGCAACCCGTCTGATGTGCAACGGTCAGTCGACGAGCCTTCGTGTGCATAGTCGATGTCTTGCACTGGTGACGTGGATCGACCAACTGTTTCGCACAGGCGATGTGAAACCCGTTCGTACTCACTCATTCTGTTCGCCATTTCGGCGCGGTCAGCATTCGCCTCAGCATGTGCTGCACGCAATTCTCTCACCTGCTTCAACAAGAAACCCAGTGATCCTCTGACCTCATCCATCTCCATGCACACATCGTCCAACAGTGTCACGCGCTCTGAAATCTTACTTCGTAACAAGTCTACCTCTGTCATCAGCTCTTTGTTGTGCTTCGACAGTGCATCAGCTTCGTCCGTCACTTTCATCGACCGGTCAGGCACACGAGAACTAAGAGGCATCACATCCATCGGCTTATCTTCACACATCATAACGCCTTCCAGCTCACGCAGACGCACACTCAACTCTGTCTTGGCATTCTCAAGTTCGCAGATTCTGCTCATGGCCTCCTTCAATCGCGCTCTTAGGCTGTCTGTATTCAACAGGGCAAGTTCGGGATCGTCATTGTCTTGTTCACTCGGCGGTTTCGTCCAACTCTGAGTGGCGTGAATGGGCAAGACCACTTCCTCGTTCGAAACGCCCTCAACACACAAGTCCGTAGTTTGTCTGTCCATTCGATCAGGCACAATGCCTGACACTGAGTCGCTTGCAACAGTCTCCACCAGCTGCATGTCAGGAACTCCGGCAAACACGTCTGCCTCCACTCTGTCTGTGTCATCAACCTCTGCCAACTCACGGACAACCACATCGGGCGCCTTTCTCACAGTCTCACAAGGAATCCAACAAGTTGTCTCGTTCACCATCATACGTGACTCCGGTTCCTGCACTTCGGTCTGTTTCATGCTCAACTCGAGCTGTGAACGCTCCAGAGCCGCCAACGTCGCCGCATTTTCCTCACGCAGATGGGCAACCTCGAGCTGCAACGTCGACACCAGGTCAAAAACTTCGTCGTCAATCTCCGTCTGCACACACTCCTCCTCCACAGCAGCAGCAGCAGCAGCAGCAGCAGCAGCAGCAGCAGCAACGTTCGGTCCACGACACTCCACGCACATCGCCGACACCTCTTCCTTGCTCTCCAACACATCCATATTTGCACGCATTATGTCCAAATCACGTCGTTCTGCCTCTACAGTCTCCCTCAACTCATTCACTTCGTCTCGTAAATGACGCTTCTCCTCTCTCAGATCCGCCACTTCACTCTCCTTCACAGTCAACAAACGCCGGACATCCATCAACGAAGCATCACTCTCCTCCACCGATCTAGACAGCTTCACTATCTGTTCATAACAAGACGTCAACTCTTCGCGCAGTTGACCAACCACATTCGACTCATCTTCACACAAACTTGAACTCACTAGCTTCTCTCTCGTCATCTCCACTGGACTCCTGGTCGACTGATCTACGGTCGACTGATCGGTAAATCCTGAAGTTGACAATGTGTCAGTAGCCAACCAAGACACGCTGTCTGTCGCTTGAGTCGCCACACTCACAAGTCTAGTCGGAGAACCAACCGACACACTAGGCTTGTGCTCGTCGTGTATGCATTCTGAGGAGTAGTCGCTCCAACCGTCAACAACCATGCAATTCGACTCGTCGTCCTCTGCATCTTTACCAACGCCCACGCTCACAGTCTCTCTCGTATCACTAGTGAACCCTGATGACAAAGCTATATCACGTTCAATCATACGATCTAGCACGTCAGTTCCCATGTCACTTCTGCACACTGTTTTTGCCAACCTGGCGTCCACATCGTCTGCCATATCCAACCTACTACGCAGTTCCAACAACTCTTTCATGGCTGTGTCGCGTTCTCTCACAATTTCGTTTACGCGCGACTCCCAGTCTCGACTGGCTATCGCCAACACTGTGTTGCAATGCTCTTCCATCGATGTCTCAAGCCGACACACTTGATCCCGTAGTGCAGAACACTCGTCACGAGAAGCAGACAGTTGACTCTCCAGATCTGACATTGCGCAAACCTTCTCGTGTCTATAGGCCTCCAGTTCCTCTCGGGCAGTTGACGCCTGTTCGACTGCCTGACGAAGAGCTGTTTGCATCAACACCATCTCAGATGCCTGCTTATCACACAGGTCTCGACACTTGCAGAGCTCCTCAGACAGCTCACGGTTCCGGTCGCACAGTCTGCTCATCTCACTTACCGAATCCCAATCTTGTCCTCTCTGCATCGACGTCACTTCATGAGACTCTTGTAGTCGCACAAAGCTATCAAGCATAACAGTAGACTCCAAGTGTTCTGGCCATGTCATTGTCTCACACTCACGGTCCACGTGTTCAACCACACCATGGGACAACCCTGTTGTGACGGCATCTAAACACTCCTGCACTCGTTGTTCGTGCTCTCTGCACCAATCTCCATAGTCGGAACGCAGACCTCTTATATGGTCAACCACAAACGCCAACAGTGCTTTCGTCTTGGTCACATCATTCTCCAAGTCAGTAATCACAGTCATATAACTCTCTAGACGACGCTTCAGCGACTCACACTCACAGATCAGGGCATTGTTCATTGACTCACATTCTTTCAGTTTCTCAGTGACTGCCTCCAGCTCGAACGATTGTGTATCCAGTGCACGCTGCAAATCCTCTCGCAACCCGTCTGATGTGCAACGGTCAGTCGACGAGCCTTCGTGTGCATAGTCGATGTCTTGCACTGGTGACGTGGATCGACCAACTGTTTCGCACAGGCGATGTGAAACCCGTTCGTACTCACTCATTCTGTTCGCCATTTCGGCGCGGTCAGCATTCGCCTCAGCATGTGCTGCACGCAATTCTCTCACCTGCTTCAACAAGAAACTATGCGATTCTGTGGCGTCATCAGTGTGTGTGTTCTTATCTCTTGAAATTATTCTCAATTCTGGATTTGTACTTTTTGTTGATTTTTTTATAGTTTTTTCATTGGCGTTATCCCGTTTTGACGCATCGGTCTGTTGATATTGCTGTTGTGAAAATTCGTTTTCTAATTTTTGATCGCACTCTATAATAATATCGTTTTGGTTTCTTATAATTATGATTTCATCTTCTTTCTTGATTTTCAGGTTCTCTCCTTCGAATTTTTCCAGATGATTTCTCGTTTCTTCATTAATTGTTATAGTTGTTTCTTCTGAGTACCCTGTAACATTATATGCTTTTGTGTTCGAAGACCACTCCATATGCTTGTCTGTGTTGTTTACACAGTCTTTCACAAGCCTTTCTGATTTTATACTATATGGTTCAACGGTTTCTAGTTCTTTACTTGATAAACTGCGCGACATTACGGGAATATCTGATGCTGATTCAGCGTATGTCATACTGCAGGGTTGTCTAGGTGGTGGTAGTATCAAAGAACTGATGAACATTTTTTCGTCTTTAATATCCGGAGGCATTCTCCAAACGTGCGAAATTTTATCTTGTGAGAAGTCATCATGCGAAACGATGGTAACTTCTTCACAGTGACAAGCATGTGATTCACTGGCATCATTCCGGTTTTGTTGAAGTGACTTATCCCTTTTTGAAGATGAATTTGTGGCAAATGTAAACTTAGATTCATTTGCATTAGAATCAACCATCATCGGGTCGACATCGGATGGACTTAACACCTTGAAACACGAAGCATCTAAAACTATCGACGATATGTATGACTTATTTCCATGAACGACGATATCATTGAGTTTATTGCCTACCTCACTGTCACTGGCTACAAGAAATTGGTTTGAATTAAGAAGATCACTTTCGCAAGTCGCTTGGATTTCAGAGAGCAGCTTACCATTTGAATAATTACGATCACTTTCTCTAAAATTAGAAAGATTACCAGAAGTTTCAACCAACATACCATTGACTTCTAAACGAGAATTGAAATGTCTAACAGGTGGAGGCAGATTAAAGCTCAAACGTTTCTTTGGGAAATCATTCTCACACATCAGGGCATTGTTCATTGACTCACATTCTTTCAGTTTCTCAGTGACTGCCTCCAGCTCGAACGATTGTGTATCCAGTGCACGCTGCAAATCCTCTCGCAACCCGTCTGATGTGCAACGGTCAGTCGACGAGCCTTCGTGTGCATAGTCGATGTCTTGCACTGGTGACGTGGATCGACCAACTGTTTCGCACAGGCGATGTGAAACCCGTTCGTACTCACTCATTCTGTTCGCCATTTCGGCGCGGTCAGCATTCGCCTCAGCATGTGCTGCACGCAATTCTCTCACCTGCTTCAACAAGAAACCCAGTGATCCTCTGACCTCATCCATCTCCATGCACACATCGTCCAACAGTGTCACGCGCTCTGAAATCTTACTTCGTAACAAGTCTACCTCTGTCATCAGCTCTTTGTTGTGCTTCGACAGTGCATCAGCTTCGTCCGTCACTTTCATCGACCGGTCAGGCACACGAGAACTAAGAGGCATCACATCCATCGGCTTATCTTCACACATCATAACGCCTTCCAGCTCACGCAGACGCACACTCAACTCTGTCTTGGCATTCTCAAGTTCGCAGATTCTGCTCATGGCCTCCTTCAATCGCGCTCTTAGGCTGTCTGTATTCAACAGGGCAAGTTCGGGATCGTCATTGTCTTGTTCACTCGGCGGTTTCGTCCAACTCTGAGTGGCGTGAATGGGCAAGACCACTTCCTCGTTCGAAACGCCCTCAACACACAAGTCCGTAGTTTGTCTGTCCATTCGATCAGGCACAATGCCTGACACTGAGTCGCTTGCAACAGTCTCCACCAGCTGCATGTCAGGAACTCCGGCAAACACGTCTGCCTCCACTCTGTCTGTGTCATCAACCTCTGCCAACTCACGGACAACCACATCGGGCGCCTTTCTCACAGTCTCACAAGGAATCCAACAAGTTGTCTCGTTCACCATCATACGTGACTCCGGTTCCTGCACTTCGGTCTGTTTCATGCTCAACTCGAGCTGTGAACGCTCCAGAGCCGCCAACGTCGCCGCATTTTCCTCACGCAGATGGGCAACCTCGAGCTGCAACGTCGACACCAGGTCAAAAACTTCGTCGTCAATCTCCGTCTGCACACACTCCTCCTCCACAGCAGCAGCAGCAGCAGCAGCAGCAGCAGCAGCAACGTTCGGTCCACGACACTCCACGCACATCGCCGACACCTCTTCCTTGCTCTCCAACACATCCATATTTGCACGCATTATGTCCAAATCACGTCGTTCTGCCTCTACAGTCTCCCTCAACTCATTCACTTCGTCTCGTAAATGACGCTTCTCCTCTCTCAGATCCGCCACTTCACTCTCCTTCACAGTCAACAAACGCCGGACATCCATCAACGAAGCATCACTCTCCTCCACCGATCTAGACAGCTTCACTATCTGTTCATAACAAGACGTCAACTCTTCGCGCAGTTGACCAACCACATTCGACTCATCTTCACACAAACTTGAACTCACTAGCTTCTCTCTCGTCATGTCCACGGTAAATTGTGAAGTTATTATTGTTTCTTTATCTAATGTGGATTTTTTTTCTTCAATTTTGGCTATTGTTCGATATTCTTTCTCCTCTTTGGACATTATAGTTGTTTGTTCAATCTCTGTCTGGTTAGTTAATTTTAGTTCATTTATTATGGTTTTATTTGGATTTGTAGATGAATCAATAAGTGAATTAGGATATTGATTATGATGATATATATAACATTCACTTTTTACCTTTTCATCATTTCTCTCGTAGCAATTATTTTCATACGTCTCGTCGTTATTATGTGGGACAATGTTATGTCCTGTTGAAATAGCTTTTAATTTATAGTCATAATCTCTTAATTCTTTGTTCAAATCTTCTATTTGTGATGCTTGTATAGCTATAAGTTTGCAGTGTTTTGTTTTTTCACTCAAAAGTTTATCTACTAAATGCTGACACAAAGATAACTCTTCATATATAATATGTAACGCAGACTGTAGCTTTTCTGTCAAGTTCAATTCTGTGATTTCAGGTTTGTCATCTAATAATCTATCAATTTCTTGATTGAATGAATAATTATCCTGTTCAATTTGTTCAACAAAAGTATCTTGTTTTCTAATGATTTGTTGTTGTAGAATTTCTTGTAATTCAGTTAGGTGAATAAGTGATTGTTCAGCTGAATAAAGTGGATATTTCTGATCATATTCCTCTGTATTTACTAGTAAACGTTTTGCATTATGAATCGAAAAACTTTTATCATCAGTAAGGTAGTGATCAGGTGATTCATATTCAATTTGATTATCTTGATCAGGTATATACTGATGTAAATTTGATATAATTGTACTGACTTGATTTAAAAATGCTTTAGTCAAAGACTGTACATTGGATAATTCTCCATTATCTAGAATAGATTGTAAACTAGTAAAATGATTATTAGATATAGCCAATTTAATATGATTTTCAATATCTAATAAATTGTTACGCAACATTTCTACTTCTCTTTCAGATTTCTGTAATTTTGATTGTAACATTTCATAATCTTGTTTTAACTGAAGTAATTCAAATGAACAGCTATCTGTTGATAATTCAGTATTTAACATAGATTGATTAGAAATTATGGTTTCATTTGATATCACTTCATTTGTTGGCCATAAACTATGACAATATTCAATTTCATATAAATTTCTATAATCTAATGATATTTGTCTATATGATGGATCAGTCAATAATCTAGGCAAATGATTAAAAGAATCAGTTTGTATAGATGAATCACAGACATTTTTCAACTTATGAGAAAGGTAACCAGATATATTGGATTTATATTCATCAAATGTGGAATTAACATTTCTTAATTGTTTACATAATATTTGATTAAAAGTTTGATATTGACTAACTAAATGATTATAAGAATCTTTTAAGTAATTAAACTTCCTTTGTAACTCACGTAAAGCTTCTTTATCCAATGATGATGTTTGAATAAGATCATCTGTTGATATTATCTGATAAAAGTGAAGGAGAAAAAACAAACAAACAATGTTATGATTACTATTTATGACAAGAGTATCCATAACTAGTTGTATATATACTTAAGAAAGTCATTCATTTTATAACAAGGAACAATTTCATACATTTAGTTACTATGATCATTTCGAATCAATCAATAATTGGGTAAGTTGATGAATTATTTTTATAGTTACATATTTGATATACTTTCTTTGATGTAGTTTCCCCCAAATGCCCTGGTACGGCCGAGAGTGGGGAGAGCCAGCTCTCGCTCTCTAAATACTCTCACATGGACACGTGCATACAACCATTGACAGGGAAGTCCTACTCACTGAATTTCTGTGGCAGGAGTGTTGTTTACGAAATTGAGAAAACGAAAAGCGAATATCCGGAGCTTTAACCGGGTTGACGGATATGGAGGATGCACCTAGGGGAGTTGGAAAATCCTGATTCCAAACCAGTGGTGTACATGGGCTCCAGTATCATGAGGGAACAAATGGAGTATGAACAAATTGTTGGTCACCGGCTACCATAGGACTGAATCTCATTACGATGTTCTATTGCCTTGTGGATCAGACATTTAGGCCGAAGGCTCCGGGTGTGCCTCCCTAGGAAAACCACCTGTTTCAGTTTGGACACCCGGGCAGCATTGTAGCCCTCGCACAAACCAAATGAGATTTGTGTGGAGTATATGTATTTGGTGCCTCCTTTGATGTAGTTGAGATGGATGTCTGAACTGGGACAAAAAATTATGAGAAAAAAAAGGAAGAAGACAAAATATAACATTAAACATAATAGTTGAAATCAAACGATATTAACATGTTAAAATTTTAACAATATAACGTAGGGCTTGAGATATAAACAGAATAACATGAGTCGATCTTATTTTGTTAAGTTTTCGTCAGCTACTCATAATTTATAACAATATGGTGGGGTTTTGTTATCTCAGCTGGATAGTTCAATGGTGAGAATTTCATTGTTCTTTTAAACAAAATCATCAGTACAAACATCGCCGAAATCACAACTCTCCATCTGAGCTACAAATCTTTTCCACCACCTTATAGCATTTTATTGTTAAAAATAATGTACGAGATTGTAGTTGGTTAGATGTGAATACGTATCATCATGACTGGAAAAAGATTCAAATAAAATTAAGACTGAAATAAGACGTTGTGAATAAATCCAGTGTGCAAGAGAAAATTCTAGAACACCAAACATAGTCATTGAAGTTCAAGGAGCTAGAAATTAACCGATTATGCAATGAAATAGCGGAACATGTATTAAAGGTAAGTAAAAATAATTTGAGTTGAAATCAGTTCCCAAGAGGTATTTCTTGGAGTTCTAGTGAAAAGCCGTGACCAACAGAGTTCAAACGGGTCTGTTGTGAAATAGTAACTCACTGAAGACAATGATGAACGGTGGCCCCATTTCGTGGATTGGTTGTAGACATTAACACTGTTGGATGCCGGCCGCCTCAGTGGTCTAGAGGTTAAGTGCTCGCGTGCGAGACCGATAGGTCCTGGGTTCGAATCTCGAAAGACAAGATCGTGGATGCGAACTGCTGAGTGCTATACTAGGATCAAACGGCCGTCCAGTGCTTCCAGGTTTGCTATGTTGCTCTAGTTTCAACTGACTCATGAACTCAACTTTTAAATTACTATAACATCTCACGGAGAGTTGTGCTCCCAAGGTTTAACACAAATGTTTCAAAATGTGTGAAGTTGCTGAGTTTGTTAAAGTGTTTAGAACCAGACACTTTTAAAACTTTTTCTGAAAGAACTGCGCTGGTTTTCTAAGTTGTCTATCATTTATGTCATTATTTAAACACATAAACATTGTTACAAGGAGGCACCAAATAGATATGCGCCACATAAATCATTCTATTTATGTGAGGGCTGAGATACTGTCCAGGTGCCCAGACCGAAACTGCCTTTGACCTAAATGTCTAATCTACAAGACAGTGGAGCAACATAAGGAGATGCAGTCCCATGGTAGCCAGTCACCAACAATAGGTTCATATGCCATTTGTTCCCTCATGATTCTGAAGCCCATATACACCATAGGTTTGGAATTAGGGTTTTCCAACTCCCCTAGGTGCATCCTCCGTATCCGTCAACCCGGTTAAAGCTCCGGATATTCGCTTTTCGTTTTCTCAATTTCGTAAACAACACTCCTGCCACAGGAAGTCAGTGAGTAGGACTTCCCTGTCAATGGTTGTATGCACGTGTCCATGTGAGAGCATTTGAAGAGGGAGAGCTGGCTCTCCCCACTCTCGGCCGTACCAGGGCATTTGGGGCAATACAAGAAACTTTTTTAAAATAACTCGTGTTAGAAATTATTGAAACTGAATTACTCCATTGTTATGATTAGGAACGTGGAATCATGCAGTGAACCGTTCTTTGACTAGTTATTAATCTATGTTATGTTCGATTAGTGGAATTATTGATTAATTTTATAGCATAATTAGACTTGAATATACGTTTAATAATCACGTAAGAATACAGAAAGTATAAAATGTTAACTATAAAGAACAAAACAAACAAACATAAGGAGAAGTACTAATGGATTTATTTATTGTATAGGATAAATATATACAGTAATTCAGTTAAACTGAAATGTTTGTTTAAGTTGAATCATGATTTAATATTACTAAACAATTCTATGGTTAAAACAATCAAAATTGTATTTTACGATAGCCCTTTCTAGTGGATTGATATCATTTGGAAAACAACAAAACTTTGAATTGCTGACATGTTTCTACAGATAGAGCTCTCGTTCAATAGATGTTCATGATGTAAAAAGCTAGTTCTTATTGACAAGAAATTATGCTAATTGTTTATGTTGAAACTAGAGATAATAAGTATTGTTTGAATTAAAGTTAGGTGGAGACTAACAATGAGATCCACACAACTCATTTCGTCGTATTTGAGACTAGTCAGCTGGATGTACTTGCACCCTAGTCTAAATACTTACATTAAGACTCGAACTCAGTACATTTCGTTTCAAATTCCACGGCATTTTATCCACTGGAATAAAATTGCATTCATCTGATGAGACCGGAACGCGAAGAGACGAGTATCCTGGATTTCAGTGTCAGCCACAACCCAACATCAATTAAACCTTGAACCTAACTGGTATCAAGACCATCCGCACACGATGTACACATCCTTAAAGAGGCTAACTAGTCTCAGTGCTTAACAACCACAAAATAACAGCAGTGATTAAGTAACGGCTAAACAAGTGATACACTAAAACCTAAAGGTTGATTAAAGTAAAAGAATATAGTTATTCATTTAGAATGGAACTCCTCAATTGACTCCAGACCTACACTTAGTGATAGCTAGCTTTCTAGACTCCTCCGATGACTCAATTATAACCAGATAGTTGTGTCAATATTTTTAGCTGCGACTAGGTACTCTTTCTCAGTATCTTGAATTACAAGTATGCTCAGTTGCAATGTAAAACACAGATTTCATCCTGATTGAAATCATCGAAAAATAGTAAACAAACAGTTAATGTATTCTGAATTTGAAACCGTTATATATGCATCTTGTGAGGATCATCTCGATATAGTCATTATGGCACAAATTAATTTAGTAGTTTATGTATAACAGTGAAATCCAAGACGTATGTTTTGTCCTATCAGGTACTCATCAGCTAGATGCGACTGTATCTAAGAGATAGTGTTCACTCTACTCAATAAAACAAAAAATTTACATTTTCTTAACGATTTCTTTTGAAGTTTTATTGATATAGGTCTGTGTACTAAACATAGTTTATCCTTTATAAATAACGATAATATAATAAAGGTAAAGAAACAAACATACCTGATCATTCATTTGCTTAACCTGTTGCATATTCAACTGATGATTTTGATCTTGATTAATAAACAATGTTAACAGATCACTTGTAGATGTACACATATCTGTTAAGTAAATTGATTTTGTTGCATACTTTGTACAAGAAGATAACTCTTCCATTTTGAATGATTCCAAATTTACCTCTTCAATATCTTTTATTTTATGTTGATTAGAATTTAAAGCAGTAATTGTCGACTGATCTGTAAGGCTAGTTATTGATGAAACTTCAACAGGTATAGACTTATCAGTTGCGGTTGTTCTATTGATTTCATTAGCAACTAGTTCTGGTGCAAAATATGTTGCTGTTGTTGTTGTTGTTGTTGACAGTGAAGATTGTGACTCAACTAAACTAGATGATTTAAATGATGAAAGTTTATTATTTTGTATATACCATTGAAATTGTTCAATAATATTATATGCTTCATATAATGTATCATAATCCTCTTTATTACTAATCCATAATTTAGATTGATGTAAATCTGTACTAGTTAACTTTGATTCTTTCGATAACATTCCCCATAAACGTTGAAGTAAATTATTAATCGAATTATAAACTGGTATTGTTGTTGTTGTTGTTGTGGTGGTGGTGGTTGTTGAAATATCGATTGGCATTATTATCGATTTTGATGGGAATATAGTTTGATCGTCTATTGATTTTATTTTTGGTATAGATTCATAAGTTTGGGAACTTGATCCTGGATCTAATAATAATGATGATGATGATGATGGTGATGATAATATACATTGAGTTTGATCTGTATCAGATAAATAAGTAATTATATTATTATTATTATTATTAGATGAAGAATTTGTTGATGATAAAAAATAATCACTAATCAATAAATGATGATTTGTTTCTTCTAATTGATTTTTTTGTAATTTTTCATTTAATTGATTTAATTGATATTGATATTGTTTAATTTCATTTGATAAATCAATAATTTGTTGTTCAGCATGATTTGCTTTCATTTGTAAATCTTTAATATTTGGATCAATAAATTGATTATTTAATTGATAAGAATTCATTGAAATAATATAAAAATTAAGTAATGCATTAAAAAATTGTTGACATACAATAGGATAATTCATTTGATGATTTTTTATTTCCCAATAATTTAATAAATTCTGTGTAGCTAAATGAAGATCTTTTAATTCAGATATGAATGATTGTTCTATTCTTTGAATTGGATTCATAGTAACTATGACATCATTATCATTATTATTATTATTATTATTATTTATACCGGGATTTATGATTTTATCATTGATTTCTTTAGCAAAATGATGTAAAATAGAATCTGTGATATTAATATGAATATCTTGAGATATAGATTGAGTAATATGTGTTATGTAATCAGTATGAATAGAATTAGTATTATTAGTAGTATTATGAGTAGTATGTTGTTGATTTAAATTAGTATTTGTTTCAGTTAAACGTGATCTTAATGAATGTAAATATTTAGTTAAATTAGCTTCTTGTAATTCATATTCAGCAAATATTCTATCATTATCTTGATATAATTTAAATAATTGGTCTGATAAATATTTGATCAATGTATCACGATGTGATAATTCAGCTTCTAAACAAGCAATCTAAATAAAGAGATTTGAATAGATAGAATGATATAAATCCAGAAGAAAAAAAAGATAGATGGACTATTTATTAGCTGTAAAAAAAACATTTGACTATACTCAGTTGTTAGGTCCCGATAAACATAATGAATGGTAACTTTTGGGATCCTTTTATGAACTAATACTAGACGTATATTTTTATCGTATGATTGTTATGTAACTAAACTATTCATATTCCTCTTATGATGAGCTTTATCTTGACCTATGAACCATTATTATACGATTTAGCATTCTTGAGTTATACCCAGTATATTAATTACTACCTCCGACATTCACAGCCACATCTGACTAATTCTTGTACAAATGTTGTTTCATATTTTATTGGTACGTTGTGGTCTGTTTAATTGATATATAAACTCAGTATGTTTGAAATATAATGATTCATATCGTAGAGGCTCGGATTGGTGTTCTGAACTCAACTGGCTGGCCTAGGCGGAAAGTAGGACTAATCAAGAATCTACGCTGCTCATACGGGTTTACGCGTCATTGATCCGATCGTTAATTTACTGCTTTCTAATCGGCGGTCACAAAATATAACATCAGTGTACAACCCGAGGAAATAATGTGTAGTGACTTAAGCTGAAAAGTAATTTAACAAGATGATGAAGGAATAAATGAAGTGTAAAGCTAACCATAGGAAAAGTCGTTTAAAAGAAATAAATGAGATTTTAAAAAAAGAAAATCAAAATTATGAAATGATATTAAATCGAAGATTTCAAGAAACATAACTATGCTACTTTGATCGATTTGGTTCACACTGATAAAGAGTGACCTCAAAGACTGATTTCATGTCATGGTCAGAGTGTTCTTAGCCTTGTTCAAATTATCTATCACCTTAGGTAGCATTGAGCAACAGATTAGCTGGTGATTAAGTATACGTAACACAAATTACAAATATCTCTGTTGATAAAGATTGATGATATATTTAATCAGTTTTGCATTTTTACTCATTCCGTGATGGTATCACATATGATGAATACTTGGGAGATACTGGATACATCTGGAAATTGGCTTCAGTATTACAGATATACTAACTGAATATTTCCCTCTAAATCTTCAGGATAATTTTATCTCATAATTTGAACCTAATTATTTCATTCACTGTTTTTCAACTATATTTTTATCATTTAGCTTTCCATTAACACCGATACTTATTTGTTTTATGCTTTGTTAACTTCCGCTGTTGATTGAGAGCAGTGACAACTTAAATAAACATGCTTGTCCGCCAAATATTTCGTAAATCCTGAATTAGTAATCATCAGTCATGTAAGGAATAGTAGACATGTCAAGACATAAACAGTGTAATGTCACGATAAAGAAGGCTGATCAGACGACGATTACGTTTCAGCGTGAATGACTAGTTTATCAATTTAGGTTTTTACACTATTGAGAAAAAGGATATCAAGAAGACCGAAAAATTGAAATGAATTTCAAATGAGAAAATCAGAGAGATTCAAATATACAAGAACTAATTAGTGCTTGAATAATAATAATAATAATAATGATAATAATAACAGCTGAGACAATGGATACAAACCATAAGGTCAATTGTGGTAAGTGTTTACTAACTCGGAACAGATTAAATACGGCTTTGAAATGACCTACAACAAGATTATTGTCCGATGTAACAATCACATAAACAGAATAAAAGTAAAGATTTATATAGGTATCAGTATCAAGGTTGGGACTTGATAGTTTAAAATAAATTGAGTATTGAGTAGAAAATTAATAATAAATATATTTTTTGTGATATCTGCGAATTGCAGAGGTTCCTTCTTTCCAGTCTAAGTGATAAGCGTTTTCAATATAACAATCAGCAACAACCAAAAATAACAAGTAGCATTCAATACACAAGACATATCAGTGGGAACGGGGATTTCGGAAGAAATCGAAAAAACATATCAATATCCTAATGAGTAGAAAAGTTATATTTCTAATGTTTCGTTACAATCTAAGCTGCTTTTTCAGAGCAAATAAATGACCAGACTAAATTGACACAAGTTTAAATATTACAATGAATTTATAGTGAATATTCACATGGAAACATGTGATTTTGATTCACCATAACATATCATTGCTTTATTTATGAAAAAAAAACAGAGTCCATTATTTTGAGAATCTTTATGATTAGCAACTACATTTGATAACAAACGTAGCAACATCTGAATTTGAAAATTGAATCTAATCCAAAATACTAATTGTACACTTTAAAGATAACCAGTTAGTGATTAGAAAACTTATGAATGATAACATAAACCCGGTGATTCAACTAGACAAAGGTTCTTGTATAATCCTTAAGAATAGATACATAAAGTAAATCTGATTTCAGATAATTTTCAGAAAGTTATTATTGATAGATCTCACAAGGATATAACCAAGTTGATATTAAAGACAAGCTATAAAGATGTTAAACGAAATTAATGTTCCGATTAGATCGATATTATTATTCATGGTTGACTCACTAGATGGTTAATAAAATATTTGAAACCCATTATTCATGGGAAACTAGGAATCTACAGCCTACAGGATTATCATGAATTTACAATAAAGCTAGAAAGTTCGGATATTTTCGATATATTTACAGTATTATTTGATATGTCTTGACATTTGGCAAAGATTTCCTCCCACAAAGAGGAAACTTTTGATACTATAGATTAACATTATAATCTACCATTAAAAACTATGGGATTTAAATAGGTTCTGTTTAATTGTATTAAAGATGTAAAAATTCTGTTCCATAAAATTATGTGTCATTATACTTATGAGATCGTTATCAGTAGCCTATTTAGCTAGATTACAGCTGACATCTTTATGATTTACCTGCAACATATGAAGTGAAAGCACATAATCGATGAGACAATATTTCTAATGTAGGCAGGTTGATAAAAAAATACTTACATGCGTTACACCTAAAGTTACATTATGAGACATTTTATATGGGATAATCAGAGCACACGAAATAAGATTAATTTAATTCTTCCCACGAAAGTTGGTATTCTTTGTTTGCAGAAGTTGATCAAAGAAAATAATTGAAGATGTGTTTTAACTATTTTAGATATCTACTTCATTTTTTTCAGCTAAGCACATTATGTCATCAAAATTACTATGGAAAATTAGTGCGATAACATTTTTTAAAATTTAATTAATCTCGGAATTCAATGGACTCCTGATGGAAAATCACAATGATAACTTCATCGCAAAACAGTGGAAGTCGGTTCTATCTGAACTATCACAGTTAAGAATGCTTGTTTCCTATTGCCTGAATTTAAAAGTGATGATATCACTGACAAAAACCCTTAAACTAAACATTCATCCATTCAAGAAGTACGTATAAATATATCAGTCAGTCAGTTATAAAGTAGGATCAGGGACATATATGCATCGGTCCAAGTTGCCATACATCATTAATACAAGAGATGAACACCAAATTCATAGAAGCAGATACTTCAATGGCAATAAAAAAATTGCATACAATTGTATGAGACAAAGAGAAGGAATTAGTTTGTAGGAAGAATGGTATAAAGTAGTTTTAACCTCATAGTTTAAGGGGAAGACAGAGAGTGTATACACCTACGCCACTGCGATCGATTCTGAGTGATATCACACAAAATATGCAACAATTCGTTTCGATAGTCATGCGGACCCAAACCAGGTAGTCTACATCGACCAACACGGCTAAGATCAGAGGTCAGTGACTTCAAGGACTGATGCCACGATTTGTTTGGCCCCTAACTTTCTTCCATTTGTCTCCGACACTAATCAGCATGGCGTTTCGTGGTAATTGGTGCTTGGGCATGCGTAACACATAGCCCAACCATCTCAGTCGATGAAGATTTACATCATCAACTGAGTTACCATTATTCCCTAATACCCTGCGTCCAACCACACTAAGACATCTGTCATCAATTACTAGTGACTTACGAGTACCTTCTACTATTAATGATTACGGTTCGCAGCCTTAAAGTAAAACAGAACAAACTGCAGCGCAGTATACTTGTTCCTTAGTTGATAGACGGATATTTCGCCTTCACCATGGGTGACGTAAGTTGGCAAAAGCCCAACAAGCTTTTTGAATCCATGATGAGATTTCGGCAGACACCGACCCATTAGGGCTGATCAGACTTCCAGGAAAAGTGAAGTTGTCGACGCGTTCGACTACTTTACTGCCTATCCTTAGTTCAGGTATTGAGGCAGACCAGTGCTGAAACAACAACTTGCATTCAGAGGGGTGAATTGCATCCCAAATATGCCCAGTACTACCAAAAAACTGCATTTTATCAGCGTCTTCACTATGTCATATGCTTATTCTAAGCCAACAAGTGGTTCTCCTGATCGATCCCGGAAAATTCAGACAACGAGAACGTTGTTTCCATCAGTAGGTCGTCTATGATGGAAGTGAACAAAAGTGGAGATAGTGAACAGTTTTGCCGGACACCATTTGAGGTCGCAAAATCAAAGGAAAGTATGCCATAAGCTCTGACTCAACTGGCAGTGTTCGAGTAAAGAGCCCTTACAAGGCTTATGTACTTCTCAGATACGCTCCCACAATAAATTGATATTTTTGATTGCTTCTCCAATAAGTAACATCAAGTTGTGCAACCTTCACTTGGTTATTTCATTGGCTATAACAAAACGCTTTTCCACTAAATATGTGATGAATGCTTGACCAATTTTTTTAGAATTATCTAGATTCTTACATTTTTGTTACACGACTAAACGGAATTTTAAATTCTAGATAATCACTTTCATATTTCATGATATTTTCTAAATCTACATTTAATGACCTTAAGTATGGATTTTTATAACACCGATAATCTTTGTCACCTCATTTACTCAGTCGACGAATGTTCATTATCAAGTGTTATGTTATATTTCAGCACGAATGGTATTGTAAGACACCGATGAGAATATAAGGAAGATAGATTCAGATTACTTTTCTTCAACTGTAACAGTTTGTTCGGGCTAATAAAGAGAAATAATTATGTGAAACACGTAGAAAGGTTTGAAAATATCCCTGTTAAACTTCACTTATTAAAACCAACTAAAACTGAGAGATAATTAATGTACAAATGACTTGAACGAATAAAGCTAAGCTGCATAAAACCATAAGAGTTTTGACTAAATTACTCTAAGGTAAGTGAAGGATAATAGATTTCTTCGATGAGGTTGGAACCGTTTCCAGTAGTGCTGAAGACAGTTAATGGGTCTATACTGGCTCTTTTTGGTGTAGAACCGCAAGAACAAATAATTAAATGAAAGCCGGCAAAGGTTAACCGTACCGATGAACACGTGTTACTCATCAAGTCCTCTTGATAAATGTTAAACCTCACTCATCCATTCAAAAAAAAAAACATCATTGAGTGGTTTATAACACAAAATGAGAATTTACAACGAATGTATTTTCATGGTACCAATAACAAACATTTTTCTGTTGCTTAGAAGTTCTTCATTCATCAATTTCATGTTGTTCGTACGCTGAAACTGGTTGTAAGATGTTATAATGATCAGTTTATGACAAGATAATGTGGTAGAAAAGAAAGCTAAGTGGGACTGGGATCCATCAGTCTATTATGACTCCTTGGTTTGGGTATGAGAGATTGTTTTTGAGACGTAATTAAACGTAGCTTAAAATAGAAACCCAAGGCGATGCTGTTATAATTTTCTTCTTCTTTCTTTAGAAATATGATAGAAAATTTTTCTGGATGGAAGAATTTTGAATTTTTTCGTTTGTATTGTTAACTGGACCGTCTCTACTACCATACGGTTTTCCTATTAATTATTTTTTTGTTAATTCTCTTCAAATGTGCTCTATTTCGCTCACAATGTCATCTATATTTTGTGTGGCGTACTCTATTCTGCCGTGTTACGCCAAATTTTGTCCATGAATAAATGAATAATAGTTGCAAATAATTTGGAGCATATTGCATCTCCTAGAGGAATGAGAACTTGCTAGGAGATTTAATTTTCGACCAGTAGATTATAGGTTCGAACAACAATATATCAGTTTTGACAAGTAGTTGAGAAGTCTCACTGACCATTACAAGGTGTGTGTCATAATATTACCCGTATTAGCAACTGACAAGTAAAAACCACACGCTCATTAAACCGACTTCTAAGGAAATTCGCTGATATTTGGTTTAACCTTTCAGATGTCATATAAACTAAAAGTTTAAGAACTGAACCTATTATCTCAGGTAAACTTCCGTAATTCTGCTTCTTACGAATCTTCAACAAAAAGCCTTAAAAACCTGATATTACACAATCAAATATAAAAGTATTTATTTAAAGACACTGACAAAGTTACTCCCAAATATCCTATTACTGTTAAAACTAGGTAGAATCCATTCTATGTGCTCTCATACGACCACGTGATTATAGTCACTTCTATGGACTTCTTACTAACTGGCTTTACGATAGAGATATGGTAGAAATGAGAGTCCTATGAATCAACAAAGTTGATGGATGAAGAGGGTCCACAGAAAAACATTAACTCAAAATCGATTATGCATATAGCCTTTAGGATCATACGGAACCAAATAGCACACAAAACTAATCTGCTCACTGATTAACTTGAGGGCATAACCCTTTAATGAGCTGAACTACCTCGTTGATTAGACTTTAAGGTTAAAAACTTAACAAAACAACCTAACTATTTTTAAATGCTCGTTGTGTACTAGTTTACACGAATAATGATGATTTATAGAGCAAACAAAGATTATGGTTCACCCACCGCAAAAATCTTCAAGAACTAAACACAAAGTTGAAGATTTTCATTCCAAAAAGGTTGATCTCACTTTAATTAAGAAACAATAGGAAACTACAGCAGGTTTTCAAATCGCTTCTATTTTGAAATATGTCTAATAACGTCTACAACCTCAAACTTGCAGAATTTTCAAGACCGCATCCAGTGAATAATGTTGGACTGACGAACTGTCGTCCTACATATTTCTCATATAGCACCACTATATCACAAACTAACGACTTCTCCGTTTTCCACAGCTTTTATCAGTGTCCGTAAATGATGTACTGTATGGGAGCTTCTGTGATGACATTCATACAACATGTTCAAGTTACTGAGGCAGGTTTCACAAAAAAAGTGACAATAAATAGCTGACTGTTACTTCATTTACTCTGTGCCATATCTGATAGCATCAGTGTAGTAAGTGCTATTTCTGACCGTAATTGAAGTCATATTGGGCCGATAGAAGCCAGTCCTGTTAACCTTTCTTTTTTCTCCAGAGCCATCTCATAAACTGACCATTGCCCTTACTTTCTGAATTATTTGTCTATAAAGCCTTCAAGATATCAATAACAAACTCAGGCAACTCTTTGACAGCCATCCGATCACACGTAACATAGAACCTGACGCAGATGTGCATCGACTCAAGTTAATACACAACATCAGCACATCGAGAGAATTGTCAAATCAAATCACAGAGTAGTAGTAATAGTGTCAGTTTTAATATACAAGACTGGGTATAAAAAGAAAACGTAAAGGAATTAGGGACTCAGGGTTTAAGGAAAGACAGAGTGAATATATCTAAGCTATTTCGAACAATGTTAAAGCATAGTTTTGCAAGATGAATGAAAACCAATTTCGATCATTACTTTCGAATTTTAGGCAAACTTATTCACCGAGTATTTAAGTAAGAGTTACTCTAAGAGTGGAAGCTGATGATACTACCCAATTTTCCGAACCGAAGTACGTGGAGCAGGGTTCTAGTTCTCCACCTAGTGGCCCAAAGGCGAACGTTCTCGTCACTAAGTCACTTCTCCGACCCTTATGTAGCTTACTATTGCATTCTTTGTGGATGTGAGATGGATTGTCTCAAATGAAAGATATCTGCCTTGGTTGTAAAGTTCACAAGACCGTTTCTCTTCGTTAGATGATGATTTCGTTCAATTTTTAACCAAATATCCAACCTAATCCTCCTCCACTTCACTCCAATATTAGCATCCTATTTCATGTTCTGAATTCGCCTCTCACCATATTGTGCCTTTTTCGATAATTGAGCTAAATAACAGGTTTTCAAAATCACACAAAATTTTTCAAGTTTTTTTAATGATGCTGGAGATGGAAAGTTCTTTGTAGAACAGCGAACCAGAGGTTAAGACGTGAGAATTTCGACTACTGGGTTACACATCTTTGGGCAGATGAGTAGTATGAACAGTCATTATACTGATCAGCAACCTACTAAGTAAACATTTACGTCATAAATGAGTAGTACTTGACCAAGGTTTATAAACTAATTTTTTGACACCGACTCTGTAAACATCAAAATTTTACGTTAAGACTGTACAAACAAAGCGCTTAAAAATTAACGAAAAGCACCGATATAAATCATGTGCCCCAAAAGGGATACGGACTCCCCATATAATCAGTCATTATTTCAAGAACTCTTAATAAATTAAGAAACTCACCTCTGGATTTGTAAAATCTTCTGAAGCCTGGACATTTTCAGTTTCCTGTTTTGAAGCTATAAAGGTATCATTTTTGACTGGAAATCTATATTTTGTTTCACGCTGAGAAGATATGTTTACACCCTTAAAATGTCCCGAATGCTTAGAACAGCAAGAGTTTTCAGTATCAATCACCGGATAAGGAGAAACTGAACGCTTGATTGGAGATTTTGACCTTTTAGTCAGTGATGTAGGACGTCTGACTGATTTGAGACTATGCCCCATCCTCACTGTTAAATTACGTTTATGGCTAATTGAGTCATCATGGGTAGTACTTTTCGATCGCACTCTCGTAGGAAAGCGGGACTGTATATCCTTAGTAGGTCTAATGTGATGACCAATTGGAGAGGTGTTTTGACGCTGAACAATAAAGGACCCAAGCTCTCTAACGGCATCCAACATTTTCTCACAAGCTTCCTGATTTCCTCTGAAATTCTAAAAGAAATAAATTCATTTCGACACTAACTCATACCTTTTTCGACTGGTTTCTATATTTAGTAAGGCGGTCATTTTCCAAAATCTAACGGAAAATGTTCAAATATTTCACTAAAATTAGAGGTACCTTATTAACAGCAATATGTAATTTTTTCAAATGATGCTTGAAATTCTGTGACGATGAGTCCTGTTATGCAAAGAACTATAAGAATAAAACAGCAACTCACAACACATATGTTAGGAATATTTGTTTCAGATCTTTTATATAGAATAGGTCTTCTAACTAACTCTTTGCCCAACGTAACATCTGCAACACCTGGAGCATCAAAAGAAGAATCCCGAGTATTGCTTCCTCCTGAGGCTTTAGGTATTGAAGTTTCTGAATTAGTGTGGTATGTGTACTATAATTATTTTCGTTTGTTCAGAATATTTTGCTCACTTGTAAGTTTTCATCCCTAAATTCAGAGGAGCTCATGTTGCCACCATTCGAAAAAAATTAGCTCAGACTTTTCTTCAGAGGATTAACCAAACCGAATCAAAGCTTTACAAGCAACTTGACGCGTGGCTACTTCAGACTAATATATATCAAATGAACCGCTCTACTAGTTTCCATGATCTTGAGATTTAATTAGCGTAACTAAACACAAACTTGAGTAATAAATTACGAAAAACTACCGGTCCATGTTATTGACCTTGATTTCTGACACTCCAAAGATTTGTAGTGACCTACTTTCAATGGAAACAATTATTATTATAACCAATTGCACCAGTGATTGTTTTACTGTACTTGCTTGTTCAACTGTACTAAAGACATGCATTCTTTCTTCCGTTGATTGTGACCCCGCACGCCCTTACGTTTGCTCAGTGATTCCGCTTGTACACCTTTGACACGATCTCGGTATTCTTTCGATACCACGAGATCGCCAACAAATATATCTCGCTACAACTTCCGATCGCTTTCTGATATCTGGTACGCAACCTTCTTGTAGTGGTGATCATAGTCAACCGCGACTCGACGCCAAACTACAATTTGTGAGCCAAAAAATATGGACACTTTTCAGTCGAATCCAAATCTTCCAAAGAAGCCATTTGCGGTGAGTTTATTACTTATTTATCCACGTCTGTTGCACATTTTCATATTGATATTTTTCAATATCTAATATTCTGGCAACTTCCAGCCACGGCAAAACCACGCCGACTGGCACTGGACAATTTGGCCTCCGCTAAACGTGGGTTTGACAATTTACTAGCTACTGGTATTATTCGTCCTTCTCACAGTCCCTGGGCCTCACCTCTTTACATGGTGCGCAAAAGGATGGGGGAACATGCAGCGACGACCGGGCACTAAACATTGTTACACGTTTTGATAGCTATCCCACCCCCCATATACAAGACATCATGGCACAACTATTTTTCTATGATCGATCTGGTACGAGCATATCATCAGATCCCAGTCGCTGTTGAAGATATCGAGAAAACCGCTATCACGACTCTTTTTGGTCTGTTTGAGTTCCTACGAATGCCATTTGGATTATGGAATGCTGCTCAAAATTTCCAAATTTATATCGACAGCATAGTACGAAACCTAAATTTTGTTCACGTCTATATTGATGACCTGCTAATCGCATCATAAAACGTAGATGAACATTATCAACATCTTGAACTTATTCCAACGTCTTTCGGATAATGGCATAGTAGTCAACCCGGACAAGTGCGAATCAGGCAAACCAGAAATAATGTTCTTGGGTCACACCATTAAGCAAGAGGGTATTTTACCTTGCGAGGACAAAGTACGTGCCATAAGGGAGTACAACGTGCCGTTCACACTCAAGTTACTAAAGGCATTTCTCGGTGTGGTTAAATTCTATCTACGTTTCATCCCACACGCGGCAGAACGGTCACGACCATTAGCCGATTTATTTCACGGCAATTCACGCAAATAAGAATTGAACGATTCCGCAAGTACTGCACTTCCAGAGATCAAAACGGCTCTGGCTCAAGTCACACTCCCGCTCATCCTGACCAATCAGCCACGCTTCGTATAGCGGTTGGTGCATCGGATTTTGCTATAGGAGCCGTTATGCGACAGAACATCCCCGGTAGTTGGCGACCTCGATAATTTTTCTCACGACACCTTACTCCCATGGAGACGAGACATAACGCTTTTGGTCCAGAATTGCTAGCAGCCTATTGTGCCATCAAACATTTCCGGCACGCAGTAGAAGGTCGCGATTTCATCTTATTCACCGACCACAAGCCTTTAATGTATGTTCTGCATACTAAGTCTGACCGCTGCTCACCACGAGAGTGCAGACATTTGGACTATATCTCTCAGTTCACGACAGAACTTCGTTACATTAAAGGCGAGTCGAACTATGTTGCTGATGCTCTGTCACGTATCCAAGTGAATGCAGTTACTTCACCGGTACTCAAACTTCCTGCTATGACAGCCGCTCGGGCAAACGATCATTTTGTACAGAAGCACCACAATCTTCATCCCTTCAGTGCCAAGAAGTACCCCTAGCTACTAGCTCAGGTACCATCCTATGTGAAACTTCAACCGTTCTTCCCCAACCCATCGTACCCTCTGCTTAACGTCGTTTAATCTTTGATGGCCTGCATGGACTGTCCCATCCAGGTATCGCAGCTACTTTGCGTTTCATCTCTGCACGACCCGGCTGCTTGGTACCGAACGCATACGCACTACCGCCTACCACCCAGCATCAAATAATTTAGTTGAACGGTTTCATCGCCAACTCAAAGGTGCTCTTCTAGCACACGAAAACAACAACTGGTACAAGACCTTACCGCTTGTCCTCCTGTGTATCAGAACGAGCTTGAAAGCAGATATTCAATGTTCTGCCGCTGAACTGGTATGCGGCACGACATTGCGTCTGCCTGTTGACTTCTTCACACCACTGAGCAGACACGATTTCCGTAAATCAGACTACGTCCAACAACTGTCTGCATTTATCCGAACGCTGCCTCCGGTGTCAACTCGAACACAGCATCGATAGGTCGTTCTCTCTCGAGAGTTATCTACCTGTTCACATGTTTTTGTACGAGTAGATTCGGTGCGCAAACCTTTGCAACAACCTTACGAAGGCCCTTTTCGCGTGATCGGTCTTCACGAAAAAACCTTCAAGGTTGATCAACATGGCCGCGTCGAGGTCGTCAGTATTGATCGTTTCAAACCAGCACATGTCCATGACAGTGCCCTACCTGATAAGTTGGGACTCAATGCTAGGCCCATCAAAACTGCTAGCGGAATCACTATATCTACTTCAGATTCCGCGCTAGATACATCAGAGACCTCACTCTCACGTCCCGTTAAACAGCACGTGTCATCTGCACCATCTACGGACGAAACTTCAGTCTCATGCCCAGATCGGTAGACAATGCCGCCCTTGACTTCGGATGAGATTGCAGGCACACGAAATACGATGGAAACTACCGTCTCACGTTCCGGTCGCCGAGTGCGGTTGCCCGTACGCTTCCGCGACCAGGTGCACAGTCAACAACCGATACGGTGTAGGGCTATTCCTATGCTACGTGCATGCTACACTCTTCTCTTTTTTGATTTTCTTTTCGTTTCCTGAGCCCACGCCTTCGACCATCCCCGTTTGGTTCCGTCGGCTTCAGTCAACTTTGGCGAAAGCTGGCCTGATCACCCATGCTCTTGTCAACGCACTCAGTCGATATTTTGGTCTCGAATGTTTGGCATACGCTTGGTCTCGAACTTAGTCGTTATGGTCGTTTCTGGTTCCTCGGCCCAACGTGGTTTCGTCCTTCGTCCACAGCGCTTTCTGGTCCGGACCCCTACGGATGCAATCTTCAGATTCTGGGTACAAACCAATCTGGTGTGGTACGCTAACTCGAGTGACAGATACAGTACGTTTCTCCTGGTACCGTTCTACGTAAAAGACCTTCGGCGGCAACTCGAGGATCAAGGATAGCTTCCTGTTCCTCCAACCCTCTCGTCCTACAATCGGAGGGTTGCCGATCAATCCTACAAACAAAACGGCTACGTATCGAGTGTAAGCCCTTTCTAGCGGGGGTCCCCTGTAGTTACCTAATTTTATCAAGAAAAGGCGATTGGTTTGATGGAAACAACTATTATTATTATTATAACCAATTGCACCAGTGATTGTTTTACTGTACTTGCTTGTTCAACTGTACTAAAGACATGCATTCTTTCTTCCGTTGATTGTGACCCCGCACGCCCTTACGTTTGCTCAGTGATTCCGCTTGTACACCTTTGACACGATCTCGGTATTCTTTCGATACCACGAGATCGCCAACAAATATATCTCGCTACAACTTCCGATCGCTTTCTGATATCTGGTACGCAACCTTCTTGTAGTGGTGATCATAGTCAACCGCGATTCGACGTCACACTGCAGATTCAGGCACTTTGTGCATGTATTATAATGACGTGTAAACTCAGTCACCTGCGATGAACTGTCAGATCTCATCTCATTTCGCATCGTTGAATATGAAACTGATACCTATTATTTATTTGCATCAATTGAGAAAAAACCTGTCTCGTATTAGATCGATAACTGCGTTCAGTTCTGCATTTATCATTCCCTTTTCTCTTCTATTGGTAATGGCGTTTGATTTAATAGTGTCTCCAATACATTCGATGACTTTGTGGTGATTTTGTAAAAGCCGATTGGTAATTTTGCTTGCTTCTTGCTTTTTGTTGCGATTCTGAGGATTTGATAATGCATAATGGGGAAAAGCCTAGTCACTCAGCTGCACATGTAATGGTCCAAATGGTTCTTGACGGAAAATTGACTATCAACACCGCTATAGAGAAACACGTGCCAAATAAATCCATAAAATCCCCGGGAAGCCAAATATCAGAAGGCATTTAATGGACCAAGTCGAGATATATTTGCTGGCGATCTCGTGGTATCGAAAGGATACCAAGATCGTGCCAGGATACAAGCTTGGTTACAGAATGTAACCGAATTCGCGCGAGTTCACAATCAAAGTTTAAGAATAATGTATGCTTTTTAGCACAGTTAAACAAAAGCACATTAAAACGGTCACTGGTACAATTGGTTATAATAATAATTGTTTTCGATAAACCAATCGTGTCCTCGTGATAAATGTGTGTCACTGCATATCTGTGCTAAATGTTGAGCATAGATCTTCCTTGTTATCCAGTGTTCAGCTTTGAGGTTTGTGTGGTTAAAACCAATACCATCACAGATTTGTCCGTCTTGTATTTCGAGTGGGTGCTTTAGTCTCACACCAAAATGGATTCTGGATGCCAGCAGCTATTATACTATCAAGTGGGTAATCTGTTGTTTGTAACGTCAAAAACAATGAGGGGAAAATTGTGGTCCTAAGACGAATGACACGAAACTTAAGTAAACAAGTTTAATAATCAACAAACTAAGCGCTGATAAGACGAAAGTGTAAGGATAAACCGATCGATGGAGGTGGGAGTAAACGGTAGAATAGTAAGTCAGTGACTATGAGACCAGGTAATTTGCCAGGGAACTGTGGTCACTTGTGTTGAAAAGAACGATTTCTTTGTAGTTGATGACTGAGTTCGAATTCCAAATACAAAACATTCGTTCATGTTCATCTAGTACTT